GAGCTGAGCTGAAGTTGCAGGCTTTACCAACTGAGCCACCCAGGCACACCTTAAGGATTTATCTTTAAAAATGTTCACTGAAAGGGTGCCTGGGTGGCTCAGTCAGTTAAGCGTCTGCCTTTTGGCTTATGACACAATCTTGGGATCCTGGGATTGAACCCCAAGTAGGTGGAGGGTGTTCCTGCTCAGTGAGGAGTGTGCTTCTCCCTCTCCCAATCTGTACTCTCTCTCTCAAATAAATAAATAAATAATCTAAAAAAAAAGTTCACTGCAGAGGCACCTGGGTAGCTCAGTTGGATGTCTTCCTTTGGCTCAGGTCATGATCTCAGGGTCCAAGGATTGAGCCCTGCAACAGGCTCCCTGCTCTGTGGGGAATGGGCTTCTCCCTGTGCCTCTGCTCTTCCCCTTGCTCATGCCCTCTCATTCTCTGTCAAATAAATTAATTAAATCTTTAAAAAAATAATAAACAATATCGAATAAATGAGGTATGCCACCATGTACTCATTAAGAATAGTAACTGGAGGGGTGCCTGGCTGGTTCAGTCTGTGGAGCATGGGACTCTTGATCTTGGGGTTGTAAGCTGAAACCCCATGTGGGGTACAGAAATTACTTAAAACAAAAAAAATCTTTTTTTAAAGATTTATTTAAAGAATAAATCTTTTTTTTAAAGATTTATTTTATTTATTTTAGAGATACAAGGAGAGCCAGAGCATGACCAGGTGGAGGGACAGAGGCAGAGGGAGAAGCAGGCTACCCCCTGAACAGGAAGCCCAACAATGGGGGACTCAATCCTAGGACCCCGGGATCATGACCTGAGCTAAAGGTAGACACTTGACTGAGCTGCCCAGGGGCCCTTAAAACAAAAAAATATTTAAAAAATAACAATAACTATGGATGCCTGGGTGGCTCAGCAATTGAGCATCTACCTTTAGCTCAGGGCATGATCCCAGAGTCCTGGGTTCAAGTCCCACATCAGGCTCCCTGCATGGAGCCTGCTTCTCCCTCTGCCTGTGTCTCTGCCTCTCTCTGTGTGTCTCATGAATAAATAAATAAAATCTTTAAAAAATAAAAAATTAAAATAAATGAATAAAATAACAATAGCTAGACTTCAAATACTTATGAGTACAGCATAATCTCACTTTTATTGAAACACACTTATACATATAAAACATTTTTAAAAATTCTTAGTTGCATATTTGCTCAGGAAGAAGGTATACCAAACCATAAACAATGACTTTTTTCTCTGAAAGCTGTGATTATAAAGGGCTTTATACCATTTTGTTTAAATTCATAAAAACAAAACTGTATTACATTTATAATTAAAAAAATCAAGACTTTCCATTTGGGGAAAGAAAAAAGTTTGGGGTTTAGAAAATTGGTAAAAAGAATAAATTTCTATACTATATGAAGAAGAATGGTGTGGGTTTCCTTTATAGGAGATTTCCCTTTAAATTGATGGCTTTGTTACTCCCTCTGCTTATAATTCAAAGTCAAGATTTTAAAGAAAAAAAATCAAATCTCTCATTTTACTCTTTACATAGTTATGAAGGAGTATAGTTGCAAATGGAAATTAATTAGAAGTGAAATCTAATGCATAGACATTTAACATCAACTAGTTAGAAGTGTATGGGATGTGAATTTTAGAGGACTGGTTTTCTAAATTACAAAATCCACAAATTCAAAATCCAAATATGAATGACAAATACATGCTCTGCAACTAATAAATAGGGAGCAAGGTCTTTCCACTTAATTTTACAGTCTCCTTCCATTCCCCCTCCCCCTCAAATGCAGTTATTTCTTTAGGAGCCTATATATATAATTATATATATAATATATATATATAATATAATATATATAAATATATATAATTCCCTTTTAGACAGCTGTCACATTTTCCCTCCACTCCAATAGTCTATGGAATAGAATTCCATAGATTAGAACATTTTACCTAGATTGCTGGTGATTTGCAAAACATGCCCATTCAGAGACTTTCAATTTAATAGAGAAATAGGGCAGCCCCAGTGGCGCAGCGGTTAGGCGCCGCTTGCAGCCTGGGGTGTGATCCTGGGGACCCGGGATCAAGTCCCACATCAGGCTCCCTGCATGGAGTCTGCTTCTTCCTCTGCCTGTGTCTCTGCCTCTCTCTCTCTCTCTCTGTCTATGAATAAATAAATAAAATCTTTAAAAAAAATAATAGAGAAATAGCTCTGTAATTAAGAACAATTTATGAATGCTTCAACAAAATAATTTCATCCCGAACATTCTAAAGTGAATTTAGACCATTAAATCAATGCATAAATTAGGTTAAAGGAAAAAGGACTTTCCTCACTTCTGAAGAAAAGCGCAGGCTGTGTGTACATGTTGACTTCTTGGGAACTGAGTCATGCCTTACAAACCACCTGGGTATTCAAAATTGCTCCAACACCCTGTTGGCTTTGCATGCTAATGACAATCTACAAAGTATGACACAGAAGGGCAAAATGGTTCCAGCAGAGAGCCTAAAGAATAGAAGCAACTAGGAGAAAGACTGTTGTTGGTAGAAAGCAGGCTCTTTTTGACCACAGAAGGAAATGCAAGCTTTCGAAAGAAGGAATTAGGTATTTGGCTTTAGTGAGGGCAGTGCCTTTTTCCACGCACTTGCCCAAGAGGACAACTGGTCTTGTTTTAGCAACCTGTATTCCAATCCACATTCCTTCTAACCCAAGGCAAAGATGAGAAACCGGTCCCCAGCCCGACTCCAAGTCCATCCTGAAGTACAAATGTTTGCTTATGACCTCACCTGCCCACACCCGGAGATCTGTGCACCGACAAGTCCACACAACAACCTGTTGTTCAGCCCAGCCCTCTCCATAATACTCAGATACAGCAAGTAGAACAGAGTTTAAAAATGGGGCACCTTCCGAAGGCAACTACTTTCCATTTGGGGGAGGCTTCCTTCCGCAAAAGGTCTCCTCTCCAATTCATTTTCTCAGTTCGGCTTTAGGATGCATCTTTTTAAAAATCCCGCTTGGGCGGTGTTACCCCCTCACTGAAAGATCTTTAAGCAGATCCTTTTCCCTAATAAAATTCAAATCCCATAGTAAAACAATCAAGAGTTCTCAGTAGTGATGAGTCAACAACTCTTTTCAAAGTCTTTTTCTACCACCCTGCGTTTCTTGAGTGTTCCTGCTTGTTATTCATGCCATCATCTGTACATTTAATGCTTGCTTTGTCTGTAGAGTCCTTCTACCTCCCCTCTAAGCTTTAGCTCAGAGCTTCTCTTTTCAGGAGTCTTTAAGTACCTTGCAAAGGAACACTCGAGCTCACAGTCCTATGAATTTGAAGCCAGTCCTCCCTATGCACTCTTCCCACTGTCCCAGGTGGTCAGAGAACCTTGTCCTCTTTCTTGGCGCTCAGTGGACCTTGTGACTAAGAGGGAGCCACTGTCTACTGCTGGTATGTAGGCTCCTAGAAGCAGATCCTACCATTTTCTCCTTGCAGTGTCCCCAAGTACACAGAACTACCTGTGTGTCTTGATAAGCAACTGAACAAGTAAAAAATAGAAGCCAATTTTGAGGAAACTAGTGCTTTTATGACGCTTTTTGACAAGGAGGCAACACGGTGGTGAAAAGCATGGATGTGGGGGTCAGAGCACTCTAGAGTTAGGGTCACCAGGTGACTCACCAGCTGTGCGTCATAGGCACTTCCTCTAAAACATGAAGTTAACCATATCTACACCATGGGGATTACGAACATGGGGTAAAGCCAAGAACACACTTTAACTTGAGACCTGTGGTTTATGCTAAGGAGAATGCCTAGGGATGGACGCCTGGGTGGCTCAGTGGTTGAGCGTCTGTCTTTGGCTCAGGGCGTGATCCTGGAGTCCCGGGATCGAGTCCTGCATCAGGCTCCTGTCTCTCTCTCGTGAATAAATAAATCTTTAAAAAAAAGAGAACACCTAGGTGTTTCTCGCTGGTGCTCCAAGGTATCTTTATAGGGGCATTTTACTTCTACAACCAATCTTCAGCTGGAGACTGGCCTGTCAACAACCACTTCTTGCACTTTGACAAGTCCCTGTAACCTCTCAATGCCACCAGTTTCCTCAGGTTATATACATGTGGTGCTATTATACGTACCTGACAAAAATATTGAGCAAGATAACGTATATAAAACCACTATGGTAGACTAGGATTACTTTTATTATGTACTTCAACTCGGAGGGAAAAAAACCAAATATTTAACATTTTATTCCATTTCTAGCACATTCTGTGAGGGCCTTGAAAATTGCCCCCTTCCTAGGATTTTCTTTCCTTTTCCTGTTTATAGAAGAGTGAATGTGGTTATTCAATTTCTCAAAATGAAAAAAGAAATATGGGACGCCTGAGTGGCTCAGTGGTTTAGTGCCTCCCTTTGGCCCAGGGCGTGATCCTAGAGTCCCGGGATCAAGTCCCACATCGGGCTCCTGGCATGGAGCCTGCTTCTCCCTCTGCCTGTGTCTCTGTCCCTCTCTCTCTCTGTCTCTCAAGAATAAATAAATAAAATCTTAAAGAAAGAAATTTGGAATGGTCTGGATTGGTTGTAGTTTGCTCCCTCTGCTGGCCTGAGGGCAGGATCACAATACCTGAGACTAATTGTTTAAGTCGTTTATTTTCAGGGATGCGACTGTTAACAATGTAATGGCATTCCGTTTAAAGACAACATAGTCCAGCTCTATCTCAAATAGCTGACAATTAAAAGCAACTTGTTTATGTTTACCTTTTATTTCTGAGTATTAATTACCTTAGGGTTCAAATCTAGAAAGTCATTTTTGTACAAAGGCTAGCTGCCCCCCCCTTTTTTTTCCAAAATAATTATTTTAAAAGATTTTGCTGCAGTTAAGGCTGAAAGAACACTGAAAAATGCAAGTTTTCCTAGATTTTCTTTGCTACCACTAATTTTTGCAATCACATAATTCATGTTCAAACTTAACAAGGTTGTATACACTAACTGTGAATCACTTTTTTTATATTCAAAGTCTTAGATAATGTATATGAAAGCTAATTTATTAAACCTTTGTACACAAAGATGAACATACCTGTATAGCAAACTTATATGAGGAATGAAGTTACAAAAAAGTAAAAGTGTTATTAAAATTGATGTGTGTAAATCACTTACAAAAATACCCCAAATGGGGTAAAGCTGCTCATCCCTGATTTTTCTCATTTGGTTGTCAGAGTTGAAATATGAATTTAAAATGGTTAGAATTTTTTTCTTTTAAAAAATGATATATTAAACTTATATACAGGATAATTAGCAAAATGTAGAAAGGGAAAACAATGTACAAAAGACAGATAAAAACCATCAATCACTCTTGACAGACACAATCCAAAAGTAGTAGAAACCTTAGCAAACTATCTCTAAACCAGCTCGTACTTACATTCTCAGCCCCCTCCCACCCCAAGTTTTTATCAGTAAGAATAAAATATAGTAAACCAGCAAGCCCAGTCTTTCTGTTCTGTTCTTTAAAACAGGCCTGACTTCAGGCCACAATTAAGCTTTGGATAGGTTTTTACATGGGAGAGAAAAATCTGAAAACAATTTATCTCCAGTTGTTACTAATTAACAAAACACAAAATTATAGATAATTAAATAGCTCTTCCTGCTATGTCAAGCAGTTATTCGGAGGCCTTTTTGTTTTTCTGCTGGTTTCGGGGAGAGTTCTTTAACAAGTTTCTTATCCTGAGGTACATTCCAGTAGATTCGGCCATATTCTCAAATTCAAATGGCGTTATTCCAGTCGCGAACTTGCTCATGTCAGGTACAGGGCTGTGAATCTTCGTGGCTGTTGAAGGGCTGGTGTCCACATGGAGGAGCTTCTGACTGCCTCCATTACTAACATCGCAGTTCGACAGGCCATTGCCGTTATCAAGAGCATCTTTAGAGTCGATCTGAACAGACTCTTCCTCCTCCTCCTGACAAAGCAACGGAGGCTCAGAATCTGGGCTCAGAGAATGTTCAACTTCCAATTTCTTTGTACAAACGTCTGGTCCCTCAGGTTCCTCAGGCCTCTGCTTTTCAGGGGGTTTCCCCTCAGGAACCGGGAGGTCCAGCTCATGTGGACAAGGAGAAGAGACAACCGAGTTCCCAGTGAGAGGGGTGTCAACGGGAATATCAGAATCGCTGTTCACGCTCTCGGCCTGCTCAAGGGCCGCCCAGATCCGCCTCTGCTGTTCCTCAAGTTCTTCCAAAGTCAGCGAGTCCTCATCCATAGCTGCGGATGCTGCTCTGGTCTGGGGCGAGTCGCTGGGAGTCAGTGGCGGGGTGCCCTTGGGGAGTGGAGGGGTGAAGATGGGCGGAGGAGTCCCCTGTGGCAGGGGAGGAGGAGTGCCAGGGGGCAAAGGGGGCTGGAACTGAAACGCTCCACTTGGAGAGCTGTGTGGGACCTCCGCATCTGGAATAGAACAGTTAAGAAACTGAAGCGGTCGCAGCATCTGTGTTTACCAACATTTCTCATTTGAACTCAGGGGCACCCAGAGAGTCAATGGCCAGATAAGCTGGCCAGGGAGGGGAACACCCCGGATGCTCAGGTACCATAACCATTGCCACCTGAAAAGAACGCCTGTAGGGAGGGCTACGGGCTCTCCCAGTGCCCGGAACTTAAACAAAACCCCTGGAAATCCTGTTGCATGCTGTGTGCACCAGCTCAGAGTGAGGAAACATGAATGATGGCCTAGAGGCAGAGGGATTTCTAGGTAGTCTGTAGGCGCTGCAGATGGGGGCCTGGGGAGGGCGATGGCAAGAAACACAGGCTGGGTGGGCCGCTGCTGCAGGAGACCAAGCTGAGGAGGCAGGATGCGATACCCCTGGCCCTGTCTCCCGGTTCTGTACCTCTGGTCTAGACTGCCCACCTGAACTACGGGTTCATGGAGCTCACTGCCCACTGGTCCTCACCACCTAGAATATGTCCCACTCACAATAGATCCGTCCTGTCTGAAACAACAGATCTTTCCCTCAAAGCTGGACTCCATGCTGTTCTCACCAATGGTACCATGGGTGGCGTCTAGCTGTTCCCATACTGGACCTGTTCATCACCTGAGAGTCTCTCCTCTCCCTCTGCCCCCCACCCCTGGTCCTTGGCTCTCTGGGGTCCATGCTCTCCTGCAGACTGTCACAGCCATGACATTATATTCAGAATATTGGAGTCATCCGTGCCTTTGGACTCATCTTCCTTATATCCACTGTCCAAACTATTCTCACCTTTGTAAAGCATCAATCTTTACAAGTCATTAACCTTCCCACCTCATTAGAAACCCTTCAGTGCTGCCATCACCTACAGAACAAAGGCTGATCTGTGCCTTGGAAGGCCCTCTCTGACCAAGACTCCGCCTACTTCACCATGCCATTTTTTACTGCCGGGTTTAAATCCCAGGTGTCACTCCTCTGTTGGACCAACCAGTGTGCCGTGACGTCTCATGCTCTGCATCTAAATTTCCCATGGACTCAAACGCCCTAACCTACTAGGTAAATTCTTGAATTTATCCCTAGAATGCAGCTCCAAGTCTGTCCTGATCAGGGTCTTGACCTCATCCAGCACAGCAGCTCAGCTTTTCCTCAGTGACACCCCTATGGTCTGTAACCAGCTCTGTGGCTCTGTTATCACTATGGGCCACTGCTTTTATACTACAGTGACATTTAGACCTCTGCCCTCCCTAGGAGACAGTACTGGAAACTTAGGGCAGCGCTTGTGTCCCACGAATCTTCTTGTCCTCAGGGTCTAGTAGAGAGGCTTAAATAGCACAGGTTTTTAAAGTTTGGCAACTTCAACTACCATGATCTCGACGGCTATGCAAAAACCAGTCTGAACTTTCTTCGCTGGGCAATAAGACCTGTGAGGTCAGTAACGTACTGTCACTTAGATTTTAAGAAATCAACTTACTCAGAAACATAAAGAACAACTAAGGGCAGAAACGACACAAAAACACCAGTGGGGGGGGGGCAGGGAGAGCCATCAGGAGAGTGGACCTGAACAAAGACGTTATTACTGAGGTACTGCTGGGATCTGCGGAACCGGCTAGAAACTGGGCCAATATGAAGAAGGGTGGATGCACGTACATATGAATGGCACCTCTCAGTCTGGGACTCACGAGGACACCACTGGCACTCTTCACTACAACACACACCACATAGGAGGAGGGGAGGAGCTCGCGGCAGGGAGGACAGAACTCTCATCAGAAGTCTTTTCTTTTACAACCAATGCACCTTACTCATTTAAGAACAAATCATTCCAAAGCCTAACCCGAGCTTCCTTTGCACAGAATATCATGGAGTGCATTCTTGACAGGAGAATGTCAACATCCATGGGGAAAAGACATGTAGGCAACTCTAGTTCATAATTCCAAACTAAATCACTAAACATGCATGTCTGCAACAGGGGATCCGCTTCACTTATATTCATCACTTGCTAATAAAGTTTTCCACAGGAAAATGATAGTGAGACCAACTCAATGCCTCTTCTTGGGAGTGGGCTGTCCACAGAGGCCATGTGCACTGCTCCTCCTTCTGGACTTCTGCCCCTGTAGGGCAGGAAGAGGCTGGATGAGAGCTGTACCGGGGGTGGGAAGGCCTGCCTCACTTAAGGACCACATACCTGGGTGTTCACAAGCTAGCGCGGTTCAGTTAGTAGACTGTCATGGCTCTTGCACTAAGCACCCTAAAATCTGGTCCTGGTGATGTAATATATGATTACTGATCACTTAAAAGTTGTTCAGAACCTAGGTGGAAAAGTAGGTTGCTATTAAGCACTCTCAAAACCCCTGACATCTGATGAGTAGAGGGGAAACACCAGAAATTTCAACAGAATGAAGGAATGACTGGGGATGGAGAGATGCATGGGGACACAGTGTGGTCAAGACATATGGCTTCAGGCCTTGAGCTTTAGCGTGTGGTCAGTGTTCTGATCCTGGTATTTCGTAGAGGCTCATACTGGCTCATCTTTTAAGTCTGTGTTTTGGGCAAGGAAACTCTTGCCACATGGTCCTTTCTTCTCAGCAGGTGAGTCCACCTTATAGTGACTTCACTTATAAGCGCGGTTTTTCTGAAGAGGCAGAGGCTTATCAACACAGCCAGTTGCCACTGCCCATGGCAGAGGCTAGAGGGCCTTTAGCAAGTTGCCTGGGACCTTGAACCACACCTGGCAAATTTGTGCAAGCAGGCAGATGAGTACAGACACCAGCAGAGGCCCCATACCAGGCACCACTGAGGACAGAATTCTGTCAGAGACCATGGGGTGAGAGTGAGCTGGAGAGCGAAGGCATGGCTGACAAAGGGAGTCTTGGGGCCCTGGCTCAGCTCACCATGTGGCACCACCACGGCTCAGGAGATGTGCCCGTGCCAGACCTGACTGTATGCTATGGAAATGACACATCTCAGGACTCTCATGCACAAGGCATAAATAATCTTTGTTCTGAATGGTCCCATTTGCCTTAGACACCCAGTGTTCTGTGAGCACTGTTGATCCCAGGGTTGTGAGACATGCACGTGGTCTTCCGTCCCAAATCCCACTCCAGCCTGAGAGCCGTAGAGGGAACGTGGGGGAGTGCCTGGGTTCTCAAGACTCTGGCCTTAGGATGAAGAGTCGCACTTCACCACAGGGGGCTCAGGGTGGCTCTGGGCTGGTTAATGATTTGGAAGAGGGGGGAACTTCCCCTGGGAAGCAGGTTCCTCAGGCCTCAGCAGTTCCCCCAACAGGAAATAAATGATGCTCCTGTCACACTGGGCTGAAAATACCTGCATGGAAGTTTGTAGACCCAGTGATGGGAGTGTGTCACCACAAATCGCCACTCTGAGACACAGAAACGATGTCTCAAAAGGTTCAAAACAGAGGCACACAGGTGGCCCAGTCAGTTAAGTGTTGACTCTTGATTTCAACTCAGGTCATGATCTCAGGGTGGTAAGATTGAGCCCCACATCAGGCTCCATGTTGGGCATGGAACCTGATTACGATTATCTTTCTTCTTCCTCTGCCCCCTACACTATTTTTTTAAAGATTTTATTTATTTATTCATGAGAGACACAGAGAGACGGGGAATCCCTGGATGGCTCAGCGGTTTAGTGCCTGCCTTCGGCCCAGGGCGTGATCCTGGAGTCCTGGGATCAAATCCCACATTAAGCTCCCTGCGTGGAGCCTGCTTCTCTCTCTGTGTCTCTCATGAATGGATAAATAAAATCTTTAAAAAAAAAAAAAAAGAGACACAGGCAGAGGGAGAAGCAGGCTCCACGCAGGGAGCCTGATGTGGGACTTGATCCCAGGACTCCAGGATCACACCTTGAGCCAAAGGCAGACGCCCCACAGCTGAGCTGCCCAGGTGTCCTTTGCCCCCTATTCTAAAAAAGAATTTCAAAATGCCAAGCATAGGTGGCTCCTTTCCATAGATATCCTAAGTGCCAAGACCAAAATTCACTTCTTGTGGGCGTTTCCTTCCAACTGAATTTAATTCCACAGGTGATGGAGGCAGATAACTGGCACCGACTGGAATCCCTCAGACAGACAAGATTTTTGCCCTCCACTCGGAAATCTTGGCTAAGTGTTGGCCTCCAGGGATGTAATTTTGTCTGGGACAACTGCCTTCAAGCTTTGGAGAATTTGGCAGAGCCAAATTTCATGAATATGGCAAAGGCTGTAATAATTGTTATGAACTTGCCAACCTTGTGGAAAGCAAGATGGATACTGACATCAGTCTGTAGCTACTCAATGCCCTGTCTGTGCTCTCTATTCTGGCATCAAGAACTCCTGTGGCTGAGACTAAGCGGAGCAAAACTTGTGGGAAAATGGTTGGGGGGGGCTTTGATTTTGGACTTTAATTACCTTGGATTTTAAGGGGATTTATCTGTGACCTTTAAATTCTCCCTGGGAATTTTAAAAATAAGGAGATTCACAAATCGGGGTGATCTGTATTGCTAGCCATCTTACTACTAGGGTATCTAAATGCACTTCATCGGGACAGCTGGGTGGCTCAGTGGTTGAGCCTCCACCTTCAGCTCAGGGAGTGACCCTACGTCTGGGGATGGAGTCCCACCCACGTAAGGTTCCCTGCAGGGAGCCTGCTTCTCCCTCTGCCTATGTCTCTGCCTCTCTCTGTGTCTTTCGTGAATAAATATATAAAACCTTAATAAATAAATAAATGCACTTCATCTTAACATTGCCATCTGATATGTGAACAGGACCAAATAGCTGGGCATAATTTGGGATGGGAGGGGAGGGAGGGAGGCAAGGAAGGAGTTTTTCTGTCTTGGATTCAGAGTAGCTTCGCAGTTCTGATATAAAGTTGATTCATTCCAGAGCTTTCTAGGGGCAAAATCTAGACTACACACCAGCAGTCCCAAGGGAAAGTCCCAAAGACCAGTGGAGTGGTTGGTAGTAGGGGTCGGAGACAGAAAAGTGGGTGTGTGCCTGTCCTGATCCACTGCTGAGGAGTGTCATGGTCCTGGATGGCCACAGCTTCCATACCTAAGCCCAGAGGATTGGGAATAAAAAGCCAGAAAAATATCAGAGGGCAAAGCCTTTGTTCCACTGTGGGTTTCCAGGACAGATTTTCCTCATGGCCTCTCTGTCCTGGGAAGGAAGTACAACTTACCAAGTTGGGGTACGAAGAATGGGAAGAGTAACTGGAAAAGCCTGGCTCAGCTCTGCCTTTCTCCCTCTTAGGATGGAGCTGCTAAAGTAGAACACTTTCTACCGCTTTCCAGGGCGCTGCCCCTATTTGGGGGGCAGTCCAGATCCAGGCCCACTGGGACGGGTAGGTAGACTTGGCAGACTCAGGAACTCAGCTAGCCCCCTTGGTCCTCACACCAAGCTGTCTTCCACCTTACCTTGTATCAGTAGTAGGGGTGAAGTTCTCATCTCCAAGGATAAGATCAAGGCATTCTGCTAGTGCCATAAGCAGCCCCCCTTCCTAATAGAGCATTCGCTCTACCTTCTCAGTGAAATCAAGACCATGAGATGAAACCTACCGGAGTCGAGCTCCATATCTGCAGGCGAGGCTCCTGAGCTGCTTTCCTTCTTCTGCTTCTTTGGGCTGCTAGGGCTGGACTGGGACGAAGACCTCTTGCTGCCAGACCTCAGACTTGGCTGACAGAGAGGAGCCAAGCCAAGCACAAGTTAATGGGGTAAACAAAGAATGAGACGCCACACCTTCCCTTCAATTCCATGCAGAAAACCAATCTGGAGCAAAGTGTAGGTTATTGGTGAATGTAGCTACCCTTGTCCTTGTGATTCATCAGAAAACACAGAGTACAGAGTACTTTACAAAGCCTAAGTGCAATAAGATGCTTAGGAGTTACAAAATCCCACAGATTATAGGCAACACATGCTTAAGAAGCTATTTACCGCTTGGAAGTTAGAAGTAAGGTAATTGGCAAACACGTCCTTCTGTTGACACGCCTGCATTGGTATGGACCCAAACATCCTCCATTCCTAATGAAGAAAAAAGGGAAAAACAAGCCTGGATTTGGAAAACATCATACTTTTGAGATATATATATTTTTAAAAGATTTTATTTATTTATTCATGAGAGACAGAGAGAGATAGAGAGAGAGAGAGGCAGAGACACAGGCAGAGGAAGAAGCAGGCTCCATGCAGGGAGCTCGACGTGGGACTCGATCCCAGGTCTCCAGGATCCCACCCTGGGCCGAAAGCGGTGCTAAACCGCTGAGCCACCGGGGCTGCCCATACTTTTGAGAGTTTGTGAAGTCGAAGTCTCAAATCACATTTTTGCTTCACACGTGACTTTTCCTTTTTAGGAGGATTAATGAAGATGATGGTGCACCCAGGAAAAAAAAAACCCCAACCAACTCCACCTGCAAAATAATCTGAACTCAATACTAAAAGCCTACCTGACAAAATCACCTGGCCCAAAAAGCTTCTACTGATTATAAGCAAAAGTTCTAGGCAGTGAAGACGTGGCCTCCCCACCCCTCACATACTGGCCTGCTGACAGTGCCTTCACTGCTTATCTCTAACATAGTCAGGCACGCTGAGCTTCCATCTTCTGTTCTTTCCCTTTCTAAACCCAGCCTTCGTGGATCCCTGGGTGGCTCAGTGGTTTAGCGCCTGCCTTTGGCCCAGGACGTGATCCTGGAGACCTGTGATCAAGTCCCACATCAGGCTTCTGGCATGGAGCCTGCTTCTCCTTCTGCCTGTGTCTCTGCCTCTCTCTCTCTCTCTCTCTTTCATGAATGAATAAATAAATAAAATCTTTAAAAAATAAAAAAATAAACCCAGCCTTCATCCTTATGGTTCAACACCACTTCTCTCTCTCTCATCTCAAGAGCACATGCAACAGCAGTTCTCGAGGAAAGTCACTTTGGGCTCTTGTCAAATCTACAGATTCCAGGGTCAGATTAGTTAGATCTAAGGGTGGGATAGGTGGGATACAAGAACATGCATTTCTACTGAACGCCCCTGGTGGACTCTGATTTAGGGTGGGACTGGGACCATTTCCAGAGGCACTGATGGTTCACCATGCAATTTAGCCCTTAATTAATTACACACTTGTCTTCACATCTATTCGCTAGATGCTAAGTTCAGATCTTTGGCCTCTTCTCTGCTGCTCAGTTCCTAAGTACATCTAGAATGCATTTTTTTAATTGAAATTTATCACCACCATCATCACTACCACAAAAGATCATTGTTGAGTCTTAAAAACATAATAACGAAGTTGGAAGAGATTAAATGTAAAAAACTATTCTTATATAGAATGAGAAATTTTAGGGACGCCTGAGTGGCTCACTCAGTTAAAGCATCTGCTTTTCAGCCCAGGTCATGATCTCAGGGTCCTAGAATTGAGTCCTCCATCTGGCTTCCTGCTCAGTGGAGAGTCTTTCTCTCTCTCTCTGTCCCTCCCCTGGCTTGTGCTCCCTCCCTCCCTTCCTCTCTCGCTAATAAATAAATAAAACTTAAAAAAGAGAAATTTTACTTTAAAGAGAAAAAATGGGGGGGAAAGGAATTTTAGCTTAGGAAAAGAAGTTATAGTAACTTAGATTTACTAAAGGCAAAGAAAAAAAAAAGATTTACTAAAGGCAGAAATTTACTTTCCAAGTAATCCCATAGAACTTACAATACTGCCTCAGAACCATCCCATGTTTTAAAAACAATCTTTTATAGGGATGCCTGGGTGGCTCAGTGGTTAAGCATCTGTCTTCTGCTCAGGGCATGATCCTGGAGTCCTGGGATCGAGTCCCACATTGGGCTCCCTGCATGGAGCCTGGTTCTCCCTCTGCCTGTGTCTCTGCCTCTCTTTCTCTGTCTCTCATGAATAAATAATATCTTAAAAAAAAAATTGGGGGACGCCTGGGTGGCTCAGCGGTTAAGCCTTTGGCTCAGGTCATGATCCTGGGACTCGGGATCAAGTCCCACATTGGGCTCCTTGCATGAGCATCCTTCTCCCTCTGCCTATGACTCTGCCTCTCTGTGTCTCTATCATGAATAAATAAAATCTTTAAAAAATATATCTTAATTTTAGTATAGTTTTAGATTTATAGAATCTAACCATTCTTTTTAGCTCCTTTTCATAAGGCATAACAAACAGAAAAAAAATGTTGTTTTTTTTTAAAAATGAATACAAGATTTCACTTGAGATTCTAGTTAACATAGGGTTGCCTGGGTAGCTGAGTCAGTTAAATATCTGCCTTTGGCTCAGGTCATGATCTCGGGGTCCTGGGATTGAGCCCTTAGTCAGGTTCAGTGGGGAGCCTGCTTGTCCATCTCCTTCTGTCCTTTGCCCACACTCTTTCTCGCACATTCTGTATCTCTAATGAATAAATAAAATCTTAAAAAAGACTCTAGTCAACATAAAGGAAGTTACAAAACTAAACACACAAATGACACATCTACTTCTTTCCCTAACAGTAACTGCTACATAAGCTAACATTTTGAACAATCATTATAATAGTGTCCCATCCCAGAAGAATAGAAAAACAATATACTTACGTCTGGAATTCCTCTGGGAGTAGAGATATTAAAACCTGGATAGTTTACCAATTTCGAGAGATCATAGGTGACACTTTTGTTCTGTTGGGTCTCTCCGGCTTCTGCTTCCCCATCAGCACCATCTGTCACAGACCATCAGAGGGTTCATGTTACTGGACGCCAAATATCAATTCCTTTCCAGACCAAATGTAGACTGGGCAAGTGCTTATATTCATGGCAACAGAATTATTCTGAGAATGGCTTCAATTACAATTTTTCTAAATCATTAAATTAGAACTTTTAAACAATGTAAACAGGATACTCTAATAAAAATGTTGAAAATCTTGGAAACCTAGGTTCATCCGTGGGTTGCTTAAAAGTCTAGTTTGCACTGATCTGATGATATGCCTGATGCTCTATTGCAATGTCTTTATTTAATTTAATATATAAATAATTCTTAGTATGTATCAGACACTGTTTTAAATGGTTTCCAAGTATTAACTGTTCATCTTCATAACAACTTTAAGAGGTACATACTATTAAAACCATTTTACAGATGACAAAAGGATATTTGGGAACCACTTCTATTCTGAAAACTACTAAATAAATCATGCATTTATTTTGCCAGTCCTATGATGTCTACATACATAAGGTAATCAGAGAAGTTTCTCTTTAGATAAGTATTCTAGCTAATAAGCTGAGAAGTAACGTATGAATGAGGATATAACCATTTTGCAACCCATCATTAACAGGTTTAGGTTTAGATAGGCAATGGTCCTTGGTGACTGATTCCATTACAATAAATGGAGAACAGAGGAATATGCTACAGTAACACACCATGGGGAATGCAGTAGCAAAATCCTGAAAACTTGAAAGGACAAAATACAGTTTTGTTAAAAACAAGGGTAATCTACAGATTAAAAGAGAACCTACAGAAACTGGCTTGAGAATTGACACTTCTATATGTCGGCATGACTTGGGGATATGTTAAAAGGGCTGTCCTAAATAACTCTTTGGCAATAATTGAGAAGGGGTGGCTTGGTGAATAAACATATTTTTAATTACCTAATACACATTAAAAAAGATTTTTTAAATTTATTTATTTGACAGAGCACAAGTAGGGGAAGGGGCAGAGGGGGAGAGAGAAGCAGCATCTGCGCTGAGCAGGGAGCCTGATGTGGGGGTCAATCCCAGGACCCTGGGATCATGATCTGAGTCTAAGGCAGACGCTTAACCAACTGAGCCACCCAGGCACCCTGAAACATTTTTATTTTTAAAAGATTTAGAGTGGGGCACCTGGGTGGCTCAGTCGGTTAAGCATCCAACTCTTGGATTTGGCTCAGGTCCGGATCTCATGGCTCCTGAGATGAGCCCTGAGTTGGGCTGCCCACTTCATGGGAGTCTGCTTGGAGGTTCTCTCCTTCTGCCCCTTTCCCCACTCATGTACACATACACACTCTCTCTCTCTCTCAAATAAATACATAAATTAATAGACAAATAAATGAGATGGTCAGGAAAGGTTTCTCTAGGGACACCTGGGTGGCTCAGTGGTTGAGCATCTGCCTTTGGCTCAGGGCATGATCCTGGGGTCCCAGGATCGAGTCCCACATCGGGCTATCTGTGTGGAGCCTGCTTCTCCCTCTGCCTACGTGTCTGCCTCCTTCTCTCTGTATCTCTCAGGAATAAATAAATAAAATATTTTTTTTTTTTAAAAAAAGGAAAGGTTTCTCTGAATCTGAACCCTAAAATCTAACCAGTTCTGTTATCATCTTTTATTTATTTATTTTTAAAAGATTTTATTTATTTATTTATGAGAGACACAGAGAGAAAGAGAGAGAGAGAGGCAGAGATACAGGCAGAGGGAGAAGCAGCCTCCACGCAGGAAGCCTGACGCAGGACTTGATCCCAGGTCTCCAGGATCAGGCCCTGGACTGAAGGCGGCGCTAAACCGCTGAGCCACCCGGGCTGCTCCCAGTTATCTTTTAAAAATACATTTTACAGGGATCCCTGAGTGGCGCAGCGGTTTGGCACCTGCCTTTGGCCCAGGGCGCAATCCTGGAGACCCAGGATCGAATCCCACGTCGGGCTCCTGGTGCATGGAGCCTGCTTCTCCCTCTGCCTGTGTCTCTGCCTCTCTCTCTCTCTCTCTCTGTGTGTGTGACTATCATAAATAAATAAAAAAAATTTAAAAAAAAATACATATTACATAAACATCCTCAGAAAAAAACATAGAGCATTGTTTCATCCATCCATGCAGATTCTTTCTTTTCTTTTCTTTTCTTTTTTTTGATGTAAGATGAATGAAATCACTGGTAAATTAGGCAGAAATTCAGTACAGCACAGAGGTTTTGCCATGTCAGCTCACACAGATTCATTCCACTCTAACTCCTGTGAGAATTCCACAGCCCAGATCTACCATCATTTATTTAGCCATTCTTCTTTAGGGCCTTACCACTGTTTTTAAGTTTTCATGGTCATATTCAACGCTACAAAAATACGTATACATTCTTTCCTTGTGCATAAGTGTGAATTATTTTTCTAGAGTAGATACCTAAGAGAGTTCTAGATCACAAGAGGCTTTATGTATTCTATATTTCTTAATATATTTCCTGATGAACAGATTTCTGTCACTATTTCTTTTTTTTAAATATTTTATTTATTTATTCATGAGAGACAGAGAGAGAGAGTGAGAGGCAGAGATACAGGCCAAGGGAGAAGCAGGCTCCATGCAGGGAGCCCGACGTGGGACTCAATCCCGGGACCCCAGGATCACACCTTGGGCTGAAGGTGGCGCTAAACCACTGAGCCACCCAAGCTGCCCTCTGTCACTATCTCTTTTCTTTTTTCTTTTCTTTTTTCTTTTCCTTTCCTTTTCTTTTCTTTCTTTTTCTTTTTCTTTCTTTCTTTCTTTCTTTCTTTCTTTCTTTCTTTCTTTCTTCTTTCTTTTTTACATATAGATTTTGTTTATTTATTCATGAGAGACACAGAGAGAGGCAGAGACACAGGCAGAGGGAGAAGCAGGCTCCACACCGGGAGCCTGACGTGGGACCCAATCCCGGGACTCCAGGATCACACCACTCTGGGATCAGGGATCCCTGGGTGGCGCAGCGGTTTGGCGCCTGCCTTTGGCCCAGGGCGCGATCCTGGAGGCCCGGGATCGAATCCCACGTCGGGCTCCCGGTGCATGGAGCCTGCTTCTCTCTCTGCCTGTGTCTCTGCCTCTCTCTCTCTCTCTCTCTCTGTGTGTGACTATCATAAATAAATAAAAAATTAAAAAAAAAAATCTTTAAAAACCACTCTGGGATCACACACCGAGCCAAAGGCAGACCCTCAACCACTAAGCCACCCAGGCATCCTTCTGTCACTATTTCTAAGGAAGACAAGAGCTTATGAAAACCAGTGGAAGAGCTGATGCTCTGGCCTATGTAGTCACTGAGCTGGTCCAGTTAATCATCTGGTAATTCTCAATGAAATTTTAGTTCCTTCCTTGTAAAACAAAGGAAACGGGGTGCCTGGGTGGCTCAGGATTGGTTAAGCATCTGCCTTCGGCTCAGGTCATAATCTCAGATTCCTGGGATAGAGCCCCATGTTGGGTTCCCTGCTCCACAAGGAGCCTGCTTCTCCCTCTCCCTCTGCCTGCCACTCCCTGTGCTTGTGCACTCTGTCTGTCTCTGTCTCTGTCTCTCTCTGTCAAATAAATAAATAAATAAATAATAAATCTTTAAAAGAGAAAACAGGGATGCCTGGGTGGCTCAGCAGTTGGGCAGCTGCCTTCAGCTCGTCGTGATCCTGGGATCCCAGATGGAGTCCCACATCAGGCTCCTGTGAGGTGCCTGCTTCTCCCTCTGCCTATGTCTGTCTGTCTGTCTGTCTCTATGTCTCTCATGAATAAATAAATAAATCTTGGGACGCCTGGGTGGCTCAGCGGTTGAGTGCTTGCCTTCGGCCCAGGGCATGATCCTGGAGTCCCAGGATCGAGTCCCACATTGGGCTCCCTGGGTGGAGCCTGCTTCTCCTTCTGCCTGTGTCTGCCTCTCTCCCTCTCTGTGTCTCTCATGAATAAATAAGTAAAATCTTAAATAATAAATTTTTAAAAAATCTTTAAATAAAAACATAACAAAAAAAATAAACAAAGAAAACACCATTGAGATATTTTCTAGTTAACTCAGCACACACTAAACAAGCCAGCCATTCCTATCAGATATTACTGTAGTTCTCTTATTTTTTTTAATAAATTAATTTTTATTGGTGTTCAATTTACCAACATACAGAATAACACCCAGTGCTCATCCCGTCAAGTGTCCCCCTCAGTGCCCGTCACCCATTCACCCCCACCCCCCACCCTCCTCCCCCTCCACCACCCCTAGTTCATTTCCCAGAGTTAGAAGTCTTTATGTTCTGTCTCCCTTTCTGATATTTCCCACACATTTCTTCTCCCTTCCCTTATATTCCCTTTCACTATTATTCATATTCCCCAAATGAATGAGAACATACACTGTTTGTCCTTTGTAGTTCTCTTATTAAGAAAAAAAGAAAAAAGGTAACATTTAGGCTGACTTATCTAACCTAACATACTATACCTTTTCCATCGTAGAGTGCAAGCCCTGAGTTCTCAAGTTCAGCCTCTTTGAGCCACCCTGGTGGGTACCCCAGCTGGCGCATCCGATATATAAAAGGCGGGAGGCTTTTGTCGGTCAGACCTAGCGCGTCCTGAAGTTCCTCACTGAGAAAGAACACAAGGGGAAGAAAAAATACAGGATTCTTGTTTGGATGGAAACACACACTGTCTCAAATGTTTTTTTTTTTTTTTTTTTTTAAGATTTTATTTATTGGGATCCCTGGGTGGCGCAGCGGTTTGGCGCCTGCCTTTGGCCCAGGGCGCGATCCTGGAGACCCGGGATGGAATCCCACGTCGCGCTCCTGGTGCATGGAGCCTGCTTCTCCCTCTGCCTGTGTCTGTGCCTCTCTCTCTCTCTCTGTGTGTGTGACTATCATAAATAAAAATTAAAAAAAAAAGAAAGAATAAAATCACTTTATAAAAAAAAAGATTTTATTTATTTATGAGAGAGAGAGAGAGAGAGAGAGAGAGAGAGAGAGGCAGAGACACAGGAAAAGGGAGAAGCAGGCTCCATGCAGGGAGCCTGATGTGGGACTTGATCCTGGGTCTCCATGATCAGGCCCTGGGCTGAAGGCGGCGCTAAACTGCTGAGCCACCAGGGCTGCCCTGTCTCAAATGTTTTAAAACAACTATGAGTCTTATGTCACACATGGTGACATGGTGCTTAGCAGATCCATGGGTGTGATTCCAATGAACGTTTCTGAATGAACTGGTGCATATTCTCGAAAGCTGTGCCAGAGCACCCCTATATCCTGATGAGTACCCTCAAAACACACAGGATGCTCCAATACTGCTGACATGGAAATGATATTCTATGGGAAAATAACAGAGGTACCTAATGACTCCTGGCTTGAATCTTCCAAATCTTTCTTCCACCTCTTCTGCATGGTATCGCTGCTGGAAATTCTGGCTATTTGTCTCGCTGCAGGCATCCATATACTCTTTTCTCTTTTCACTTATTCGAGCAGCATTCCGCGGCTAGATCACAGTGCATTTGAGAAGAACGGAAACAAGCAGTTTAGAAATATTTGAGGAGTTAAGTATACCTAAGCATTCTGTTTCAGGTCAAGCAAACAGATGATCCTAGTTTTAATATATAACAAACAAGTAAAAAAAAAAAAGAGTAGATATTTTAGAAAAATAAGCAAAGAAGCAGTCACCTTCTTACTACTCAATATTATCTTCCAATAAAATCAAGTTTTTAGAATAAACTCTAAAAAATAACTCCTGTTTCACTCATCTCAAACAAAGAGCACTGTAATAATTCTTTTTAAAATCTAAGATCTTAAAATTTAAGTACAAATTTGAAAAGGCTTCACATTCAAGGACCAAAAGAAAGTTAACATAGCAAGTTTCTTTAACGCAACGCTATAAATGTGTGGAAAACATTAGGAAGTTCTAGTTCAAAGATTTTTTTTTTTTTTTATATGAGAAAAATTTACCATTGGGCAATCTTTCATTTGATGTTCTTCAGAACCACAATTGAAACAGTGAGGCTTTGGCCTATTTGGTCAAAAAACAAAGATGTGCATAATGTAAATGAAGACATAAAAGCAAATCAATACAATTCTCTATGACAGCGAAAGTGTACCAGAGAGACAAGAAAGCACGCAGATCCCAGATCACTAATATCTGCAGTCATGAGTACACTTTCACCTCCTGTACTCAGCAATTTAAATAAACAGTACTTTTAACCAACTCTTCTAACCAAGGACCCTTAGGCTCCCAAATGATCTGTCACCTCTGTGCTTTGTCAGTGGTTAATAATAGAACAGAGGCAAACATATTATATTTCCTTTAGGTAACTTGGGAAGGGGCAGGTCATAATAAAGACAACAACAACGACACCTTTCCACCCACCCGAGCAATATTAGGTGTGAACTAATGAATTCCAACAAATGGCTGACGGACTTACACATTTAATATGGCTATATATCAATATTCTAGCTTAATCTGTACTTTATTTATAGTAAGCCAGCAATGAAGAATATTAATTTTTCAAGCTAAAAGAGTTTATGGTTTTGGTTAAAAAAAAAGTCTTAAAAAGAAGAAGAAAACAAAACAACTCCCCACACAAACCTTTTTGCCTTTACTTGTATTTCTTGCCCTTCTAGAGAAACAATGTGGCTGAAGACTTGCTGGTACCTTTAGTGAATTTTATTAAGGAATAGTTATCATACTCTGCAAAATTTGGTAAGTTTTTTTAAAGGTGAACTTAATGGCAAGATGCATAAAAGATCTTCGTTCACTATGTAGGATACTTGGGTATTTCCCATCCTTCGGTAAGCTGAGGGTTTTCATTTAGTAGCGGTTGCCCCAATTTATCAAGGCAAAAATTAGTAAAATACAGGACACTTCCTACAACCTGCAGAAAACAAGTCAAAAAATATTGCTATTTAAGCAGGAAAAAAAAAGACATTAAATTATGTAAGACTATGATTAATTGTTTTAACAATTTTGGAGGATATTATTAGAAGTCATAATCAACTCCCTAGTTAAAGAAGCCAGATTCTGAGGTGTAAGCAAGAGCTGCTTCTTTAAATGCCCCTGTGTCTCCCAGGTCAGAGTTCCCCTCTGAGGAGATCATTACTATCCGCTGCAGTCTCCTCAGACTTTAAAAATAAAAACTTTGACTCTCATGTTTCCCTCCAATTCCCCATCTCTTTGTTTCCCTTTGGCAGCAAGACAATTCAGAGAAGTCATCTGTGTTTACGATTTTCATCCTCCCTTCCACTCCCTTTTTTTTCCCCCTCTGATTCTGGGGGAAATTTTCACATGGAGAAGTTGAAAAAAATGGTAGAGAACACCCAAGTACTTACTCTCCACCTAGATTCAACAACTGTTGGTATCTTCCATGTATGTGTGTGCCCACATGCATGTGTGCGCTCTCTCTCACACACACATGTGCTTACTTTTCACTGAGTTATTGGAAGAAAGTAAGCCACGACCATTAACTTAGTCTAAGCCAATATTTTCTCTCGCCTGAGATTAACGTAGTAACTCCTAACTGGTTTTCAGCTTCCACAGATAACCAGCCAGACTATTGTCATGACCCTTCACCTCTGAACACTTCAGGATGGATCTTCTGAGGATAAGAACATTCTTCTTTTTTTTTTTTTTGAACATTCTTCTACAAGACACAATACCACTGTCACACCCAAGAAAATTAATAAATCCCTGATATCATCTATATCCAATCCGTACTATTTTCCCAACTGTCCCCAAAATGCCTTTTTTTTTTCTAAGCCAGGATTTAAGGTTCATGTGCTGCATTCAGATGTTATGTCCTTTTAGTCTCGGGATGCCTGGGTGGCTCAGCGGTTGAGCATCGCCTTCGGCTCAGGACGTGATCCCAGAATTCCGGGATCGAGTCCCACATCAGGCTCCCTGCATGGAGCCTGCTTCTCCCTATGTCTCTGCCTCTCTCTCTGTGTCTCTCATGAATAAATAAATAAAATCTTTTTTTTTTTTTTAAAGATTTTATTTAGGGATCCCTGGGTGGCGCAGCGGTTTAGCGCCTGCCTTTGGCCCAGGGCGCGATCCTGGAGACCCGGGATCAAATCTCACGTCCGGCTCCCGGTGCATGGAGCCTGCTTCTCCCTCTGCCTGTGTCTCTGCCTCTCTCTCTCTCTGTGTGTGTGTGACTATAATAAATAAATAAAAATAAAAAAATAAAGATTTTATTTATTTATTCATGAGAGAGAGAGAGAGAGGTACAGACACAGGCAGAGGGAGAAGCAGGCTCCATGCAGGGAGCCTGACGTGGGACTTGATCCTGGGTCTCCAGGATCACGCCCTGGGCCAAAGGCGGCGCTAAACCGCTAAGCCACCAGGGCTGCCCAATAAATAAAATCTTTAAAAAAATAAGTCATTTTATTAGTCTCTTTTAATCTGGAATAGTCCTCCACTTCTTTTTTCTTTGATCCCTGCCAATCCCTCTTGAACATCTATCTCCAGGAAGGCTTCCGTTCCTTTATGGTGCTACGTTCCCCAGTGACCCCCACACGGCCACATTCACTGGATAGCTCAGTCTTCGTCTCAACCTGTGAGCAACAATCGACACAGGGGATTCCTCCTTCCTCAGAGAAACCTCTAGGCTTCTAGGACACATGCTCCAGTTTTCTTCCTACCCTGCTGACTAGTCCTCCTCAACTCTCCATCTTCTGTGAGACTTGGCCTCAGTCATCCTCTCTAACCTGCACTCTCGAAGTGGTTGCCCAGGCCCATGGTACAAAGGACTATTACATGCTGACAACCCCCAGACATCCAGTTTCTACCTCCTAAACTCTAATCTTATATATTCAAGTGTCAATTGACAGCTCTCCTGGACACGTAAGAGGCATCTCAAACTCACCTACCTAAAATAGCACTGGGATTCCCATTCCCTTCCAAACCCGCTCCTCCTGCCAGTTTCCCATCACAGAAAAGGTGAAGACATTCTTCCAGCTGCTCAGATCAAAAACCTGAGTCATTCTGACTTCTGTTTCGCTTTCGCTTCTATACATCCAATTCATCAACACATTTGATCAGTTCTATTTTCAAGGTATACCCAGTTCTAACCACTTCTCACCTCCGCCACTGGCTCTTTAGACTGACTAACCTGCCATGTTCTCTCACCTGAGATCAATCTATTAACTTTCTAACTGGCTTCCAGCTTCCACATGTAAACCAGATACAGACTATCTTCCACAGAGAAGCCAGTTCTTCTAAAAATTCAAGTCGTATCATGTCACATTTGTACTTAAAATCCTCCAGTGGCTTGTCATCTCACTCAGAGTAAAACCCAAAGCCCTCACTATGACTTATGAGGTAACATAAAGATTTAACTATGTTCTATGGGCGCCGGGGTGGCTCAGCTGGTTAAGCATCTACCTTCAACTTGGGTCCTGACATCCAGCCTCACATCTGACTCCTTGCTCAGTGGAGGGCCTGCTTCTCCCTCTCCCACTGCCTCTCTCCCCCTGCTTATACTCTCTCTCAAATAAATAAATAAAATCTTTAAAAATATATAAATAAATAAATCTATCTTATGTTCCAGTGTCAGAAGGCCTGGCTTTGTCGCTTACTAGCTAAGGGACCAATGGCAAGTTACTTAGTTTTCCATGTCTGTTTCCTCATATGTAAAATGAGAATAATAATAGTACCTTCATGAGCAGTGTCTGTAAAGAGATTAGAAAAGTACTTGATACATAGTGAGCAACCTCTAAGTGTCTGCTTCTGCCCCAGGGGTTTCCACTTACTTTTTCTACAGCCTGGAGTACTCTTCATTCAAACTATACTATAGCTCACTCCCTCAATTTATTCAGGTCTCAGCTCAGAGAGGCTGTCACCATCTACTCACTCTACAAACCAAATGCCCACAGCTACCCTCTAACTCCTTATGCTGATCTAGTTTTTTCAGAACACTGCTTTCCCCCATTAGGATGTAATTTAATGACAGCAGAGACTTAGCCCTTCTTTTTCATTGCTGTGTCCCTGGAATCCAAAAGGGATAATAATATAATAATAATAATAATAATAATAATAATATTATATTTATTCTTTATTAAAAGACTAAATCATACATAAAATTATCCCTTTCCAGGCAGGTGTCACCCTAAATCCCAGAACCCTGGAGTTAGATAGGACATGAGAAGTTATGTAGTTCAAATTTTTTCTTTAGGGATGCTTGGCTGGCTCAGCAGTTGAGCATCTGCCTTTGGCCCAGGGTTGATCCTGGAGCTCGGGATCGAGTCCCACATTGGGCTCCCTGCATGGAGCCTGCTTCTCCCTCTGCCTCTCTCGCTCTCTTTGTCTCTCATGAATAAGTAAGTAAAATCTTTAAAAAAAATGTTTTTCTTTAAAGTGCCTTGAGTTTTTACAGTGACATGGAATTTGCTGGGTTTTTTTGTTTTTGTTTTTTTAATGAGACCTACTCCACTTCATTTTCACATCTCTGACAGAAATTTGCACTAAAATTTGAGTTGCAATGTGCCTGTTTGTAGTTCATCCAGTCACTGGTCCTGGTTCTGCCACCTGGCACTACAGTGATCTAAAATGACACCTTTTGCAAACAGACTTTATTACATTTGCAGAGATGTGATATCCCCTGTCAATCTCTTCAGCAATGCTGGGGGCTCTTCATCACCCCAGCAGCCCCATGTCTTCAAGACTGTGACCTATCAATGGGGCACAATACTCCCTAAACATAAAAACTAGTCTGCCTTCAACAGAATCTAGGATTACATCATCTTCCTTAAAAAACCTCTAAGTTGCAAAATCACAGCACTCCATTGCACTGACAGTGAAATTCCGGCTAGGTGCAGAAAGGCCTAAATGTAGGCTTATCTCTGTTATGCTGCTTCTATTTTTCACCCACCATTTGAGCTTGTCAACATTTTTATCTATCTGCCATCTGTTATATTAGTTACTTATCCATCCCCTCTCAGCTTCAGCCATCTGTAAGTGCACCATGCACACATTCTAGATCATCATCCACATTCACGAACATCAACAAAATAAGGTTTGTCAGGACAAAAATAAAGTCCTCCAAAGTATGCCTGTTGCATATGCAATAGGTATTAAAAAGCAAACTATACTATTTAGAGGCTGAAGTCTATACCACTGTTTATAACAAATTTCATGAAAGGATGGTGATCATTTGATGACATATGGCTATACCATCTAATCATTTCAATGCCACCCAAATGACACAGGATAGGAAACATGTTATCTACAGAATTCAAAACTAAAATGTCCAAACTTACACTGAAAGCTTCCTTGTTGTTTTCAATGGCACAGGATTCTTCTATTTTATGGTCCTCTTCTAGCATAACACTAGATGGCTAGTGCAAAGAAAAACACATTACAAAAGGTAACCAATTTTTAACAACTTCGAATCTCAAATATTAGAAATTTAAATACACCCCTTTATCTTCTAATATATACCACTAAGGTATATAAAGTTTTTAATTCATCATTGTCATAGGGTAAATTTAGAGGCTAAAAATGTTTATGAAATAAAATTTCACAAGCAGGAAAATTTAAAAATTATAAGACACAAAAGACAGCACCTTCTGAAGCATTAGTGTACATTTTGCTTTTATGTTATTGAATATTAATTCATTTATTAAATTTAATGAATTAAATATTTAAACTCTCAATGCTTAAATTGGCAGAATTTATCTTGAAATCAGATAACCAGAAAGATAAAAAAAAAATGGGACTCTACATTACTGGTCAATATGGATAATAGAACTCTCATAGAACTCACACCACTATAAAATTCTAAAGTGCTCCTTTAATAAAAAATTAGGTAATATTCAGTGTGGTTATTATTAAATGCATTGTTTCTTGAATCTTTAAAAATTGTATATGATACATGAAAACTAAAGGTGGTAAAAATGTAATCAGAACACTGTTCCCCAACCTGAGGATAAACAGCTAACAATCCTTGTTTGAAGGACTCTACTTACCTTAATTTTGAATTTAAAAAAAACCTTCCAAAAAAAAGCCCGAAACCATAATTCTGATTTTTTTAAAATATTAAATTCAGGGCAGCCCGGGTGGCTCAGCGGTTTAGCGCCGCCTTCAGCCCAGGGTATGATCCTGGAGACCCGGGATCGAGTCCCAAATCGGGCTTCCTGTATGGTGCCTGCTTCTCCCTCTGCCTGTGTCTCTGCCTCTCTCTCTGTTTCTCATGAATAAATAAAATTTTAAATAAATAAATAAATAAATATTAAATTCATGCTCATAATAGTCACAAAATTTCTGAGATTTCTCTGGACATGCTACCGATTTTTTCCCAATAAATAGAAGGGGAAAAAAGAATGGCATGGGAACCTGTTGGTTTTTAGAGAAAAAGAATTCATCTTTTATAAACTCCAAAAATAGATATTTTTTTTTCTGGCTTAAAATTAATGTTTTGCCCCAAACCATGTGTCCAAGTGAGGAAATGGGAAAAAAAAACTAATTTTGAGTGAAGCCAGGTCTGAATACAACTCCCCTGAGGGAAGGAACCACACAGTGCAAAAGAAGCCCCTGTGGTGGCACTGGTCAGATCAGTGAAGGAAGCTGAACTGAAGGATGGGAAGAGAATAAACAATCTTAACAACCTTGTTATTTTTAAGTTATAGTTGACATACATTATATTAGGTTCAGGTGTAGGACATAATGGTTTCCATTTTATCATTTTCATTTTGATACAAGAGGATCCCTATGGTCTAACAATTGGCAGTGAAAAGCACAACCTAAAAAAAAGAAAAAGAAAAAGCATAACCTATCAATCTTAAAGTCTCTTAAGTTTGAAATACCTGGGGCAAAAGATTAAAGGAAGTCTTTTCCACATCATTTTTCTGCTGTTCCTCAAATCTTTTTACTAAATTTGATACAAATTCCTCTATTTCTTGATGATATTGCCTGCATGAGAGGACACAACAGTCAGAACCCAGAGTAAATACTGAAACAACTGCAGTCTTACACATTATTAGAAGATGTCAGGAGTAAATTCTGTTATTCTGTTCTTCAGTGATTTATCTAATCACTGACTATAACACTCAGGAACATATTTCTTAAGAAAAAAAACACACATTGTTGCTGAGTGAATAAAATGACTATAACCTCACTCAGTGTTTGGCATGTAACAGTGGCAAACATTTATGCTGAGAATAGATAGATTTTATTTATAAATTTTACACACTTGAATTTTGAATAATCCATGTAAAACACAGTTCAAAATCCAAAAGAAGTAAAAGGATTATGTAATGAAAAGCTTCCCTACCTTCCCTACCTTCCCTACCTTCCTCCCAGATACGCCCTATGCACATATAAGAAAACACCTATATAAATGTTAAGCTGGGGAAAAAAAATGTAATAGAAACACAACGTGAAGTAGCAAAACTACTGAGGTCCACCTACTCCAGCTTTCCAGGTCAAGAACTGCCTTCATCACATATTTGTTAACACTTGTTCAGGAGGTGCCAAAGGAGAGACCAGGTTAGGCTGCAGTGGGGCAGCCAACTTGCTCTTCACCAGACTTGATCTTTCAGGTCCCTTTAGCTCTGACATTCTAAGATTTCTGCAAGCAAAATGGTAGATATATGGTGCAGAAATGAGATTGCCATGAGCTACAGGAGATGCTGATTCAAATCCGATGGTGACAGCAGTGCTAGTGCCCAGTACCTTGCTACTGCCACACTCACCATCCGGCGTCCCCACACCTCAGAGCCTTGGGTTCCACCTGGGCTGAGATAAAGTAAGTAATGGGCCTGCCACACAGCTAACACTCTATATATGGTTCCCATAACCTTCTTTACCTTGCCTAGCACCTAAGATAACAATAGATTCAGTGAGCCAACAGAATGGCAACCAATTGTCTGAAATGTCTAGGACCATGTTCTGAGGAAGAGATAGGGCACAGCCTCAAACCATTTCAGGACATTCTAGCAAGCACTGCAGGAACGCACAGTCACCCTAGACCCAAGCATGCTGGAAGGCTTGCAAAGGTCTAAGTCTCACACTCACAAACATAAAATCATGTGGCTAAGTTTTAAAGAGTGCCAACAGGGTAAAAGTACCTAATTTTGGGGGAAAATCCATTAGCATTACTTACTGCTGTGGTGGCAGTTGTCATGTTTATTAGAGGCTATTACGGGTGCTCATTTAGCTGGCTATCTAAGAAATAGTTATTATTAGTATCCTGTTTCCCATTAAGGAAACTGATACACAGACAGGGTTGTGACCTGCCCAGATTCACCATATTTAGAAAGTAGGCGCTCAGTTTCAAATTCAGGTTTACAGATGCTAATGTCCTTAGTCTTAATCATGATTCCCTAAATTTTAATTAAAGATGGAATTAAATACAAATGAAAACAGTACACTTATAGAAGACATTGTTTCATAAACATATTAACTCATCATATGTAGAAAAGGGAAAATTACTTACTTTGAAATAACATTGTTCATAAATAGAATCTGTAATAAAGGTCCATCTAACTTAGTATTGTTCACCAATATTCCACTAAAACAGAAGTTAAAACATATTCTTAGAAGATATTAAAGCTCATAAACGTATAAACACATAACTTTTTAAAGTATTAAGTACCAAAGACTACAGAATATTTTACAAATAAGATCAAGAACCACCAAGAACTCTTGTTTTCTCAAGAAAAATCTGTTTCAGGGACATCTGGGTGGCTCAGTGGTTGAGTGTTTGCCTTCAGCGAGGGTCCCGGGATTGAGTCCTGCATCCGGCTCCCTATGGGGAGCCTGCTTCTCCCTCTGCCTACATCTCTGCCTCTCTCATGAATAAATAAAATCTTAAAAAATATATATCTAAGTTTTCACAAAATTTTACCTATTTTAATGGTGTTACATAAACCTCTATGTAAAACCCTCTACCCCTTACATATTTTTAAAAATATTTCATGGGATCCCTGGGTGGCACAGCGGTTTGGCGCCTGCCTTTGGCCCGGGGCGCGATCCTGGAGACCCGGGATCAAATCCCACGTTGGGCTCCCGGTGCGTGGAGCCTGCTTCTCCCTCTGTCTGTGTCTCTGCCTTTCTCTGTGACTATCGTAGATAAATAAAAATTTAAAAAAAATAATAATAAAAAAAATAAAAATATTTCACATAAAATTTAAAACCACAGTTAATCTTTCAGTTTTCAAACAAAAAAAAAATTCCTTATCTAATGGCTAGTTCCTTTACAGACTATGGGAAGGGAGGGTCTGGATAAACTAGCAGATTACAAGAATATATTTCTAAAAAAATCAGAATGAATTTAGCTTAGGAATATATAGGAAAATGAAACAGTTTATAAATATATGGACAGCCTCTTAGAGCAGAGCACCTTCCAATATTCCAAATCCCAGATTCTAAAGCAGAGATATAAAAAGTATACTGTTCTTAGATTTGATTTTCAAATACTGGGGGGAAAAGTAGAATGTGGCCCCAAGACCTGCACAATATCCCGGTGGTAACCTGGACCAGCTGAGTCTCAGATTCCTCCTCTTCCCACCTGCCTCCTAGTCCTTTACCTACACAGCATGTGAAATAAATCAGTCTAAATTTGGAATTGCTTGCATCAAGAAACAAAATTAAATAATATGGAGAAGTTCAGAAGCTTATTTGAATTTGCACAAACTTCTCTTTTTAAAAATACATAATGTCTTGAAGTGCCTGGGTGTCTTAGTGGGTTTAGCATCTGAGGCTGCTTGATTTCGATGTCATGAGATTGGCCCCTTGCTGAGCTCCATGCTCGCAGCAGAGTCTGCCTGAGTTCCCTCCCTCCATCTTCTCTTTCTAAAATGAATAAATCTTAAAAAAAAAAAAAAAAGACTTTTTTGGGGGGCACCTAAGGTGGCAGAACTGGTTAAGTGACCAACCCTTGGTTTTGGCTCAGGTCATGATGTCAGGGTTCTGGGAATCAAGCCCAGGGAAGGGCTCAGCACTGAGGCACTCAGTGCAGGATAGGCTTAAGACTTTCTCTGCCCCTCCCCCTGCTCTCCTGTGCACTCACATGAGAGCCCTTGTGCTCTAAAATTAAAAAAACCAAACAAAACAAAAAAAACAAAAAACAAAAAACATGACGTTTTAAAAAACCACATGCAATTATTGTATGGTCCTTTTTTTTTTTTTTTTTTTTTAAGATTTCTATTTATTTATTCATGAGAGACCCAGAGAAAGAGAGAGAGAGGCAGAGACACAGGCAGAGGAAGAAGCAGGCTCCACACAGGGAGCCCGATGCAGGACTGGATCCCAGGATCCTGGGATCACGACCTGAGCCAAAGGCAGGTGCTAAACCACTGAGCCACCCAGGGATCCCCAGTTGTATGGTACTCGACTAGAGTCCAATTTGAGTGACCAGCTATAAAGACATTCAGTTGGGGAAATCTGAATATGGACTGAGGTGGGAATGTTATTTAAAAAATCATACCAGGGACATCTGTGTGGTTCAATGGTTGAGCATCTGCCTTCGGCCCAGGGCCTGATCCTGGAGTCCTGGGATCAAGTCCCACATCAAGCTCCCTGCATGGAGCCTGCTTCTCCCTCTGCCTCTCTGTGTCTTTCATGAATAAATAAATAAAATCTTTAAAAAACAAAACAAAACACGGCAGCCCCAGGGTGGCTTGGCAGTTTAGTGCCTGCCTTCAGCCCAGGGCCTGATCCTGGAGACCTGGGATCGAGTCCCACGTCCAGCTCCCTGCATGGAGCTGCTTCTCCCTCTGCCTGTGTCTCTGCCTCTCTCTCTGTGTGTGTGTGTCTCTCATGAATAGATAAATAAAATATAAAAAAAAAAAGAAATCTGTAAAACAAACAAACAAAAAAACAAACAAAACCAAACCAGTGGGCAGCCCAGGTGGCTCAACGGTTTAGCGCCACCTTCAGCCCAGGGTGTGATCCTGGAGACCCAGGATTGAGTCCTGGGTCAGGTTTCCTGCATGGAGCCCGTTTCTCCCTCTGCCTGTGTCTCTGCGTGTCTCTGCCTCTGCCTCTCTCTCTCTCTCTCTTTGTGTCTCTCTCATGAATAAATAAATCAAATCTTAAAAAAAAAAATCATCCCAGATACTGTGATGGTGGTGGTGTGATTATGCATGACAAAGTCTTGTTTTAAAAAGTTACATGCTGAAATATTTAAGGTAAAATGTGTATGTGGGATGAAAAGGAAATATGGCCAAATATTAACTTAAATATAGTAATGAAAAAACCTGGTATTAATTGTAATATTTATTTTCCAGACATTTGCAACTTTTTTTTTTAAGATTTATTTATTCATAGAGACACAGAAAGAGAGAGAGAGAGAGAAGCAGAGACAGAGGCAGAGGCAGACGCAGAGGCAGAGGGAGAGGGAGAAGCAGGCTCTATACAGGGAGCCTGATGCCGGACTCGATCCCGGGAGACCAGGATCATGTCCTGGGTCAAAGGAAGGTGCTAAACCACTGAGCCACCCAGGGATCCCCACAACTTTTCATAATATAAAGTTAAAAATGTTTATTGCACAAAAAAGGGAGAAACTCCTGATCATGACAGTTCCAAAAATAAGGATTAAACCAAAAGGCTTGTGGTACAAATTTTACCTAAATAATTTTATTTCTTCTTGTTTTTAAGTTTCCCGTAGAATGTTTTATCAGTCTGACAACATGAAGAGCACTAATTCTAAAAAGAAAATTTTTTTCTTTTTCTTTTTTAGAAAATTTTAATTTATTCCTTTTTGAGGACACTAATACTTGCCTCAGGTATTGGCAAAGCCCACAATGCTATCATTTAAATGGGTGATTATAAAAAAATAAATAATAAATAAATAAATAAATAAATAAATAAATAAATAAATGGGTGATTATAACCCCTTTATAAATGAGTATTTGTTTAAATTATCAACTCAATTAGAAAGTCTGCTTATCAGGTGCCTGGGTGGCTCAGTGTTGAGCATCTATCTGCCTTTGGCTCAGGGCATGATCCTGGGGTCCTGGGATGGAGTCCCACAGGGGGCTCCCTGTGGGGAGCCTGCTTCTCCCTCTGCCTATGTCTCTGCCTCTCTGTGTCTCTCATGAATAAATAAAATCTTTTTTAAAAAAGTGCTTATTTTTAAATATTTTAAAAATTATGATTTTTGAGGAATCCCAGTTCTATTCAATATATTTAATATCTAACCATAAACAAGTTTAAATCCACTAAGTATGCTCACATTGAGAAGTGAGGTAAGGCATACAGAGGCTTCCAAAATACATCTGAATTCTGAATTTTTTTTTTTTAATTCTGAAATTTTAAACTTTTAGTCATCAATGTAGCTGGTTACTTCAGCTGGTTCCAAAGACAAAAAACTCCATGTGACACTGGATCATGGGCCCCCAAAATTCTAAAAGCCTGACAATACTATTCCACATAATAAGGTTGTCCTTTGACAAATATTTTAGATTCATATTACGGGAAATGAGCATTTACTCCTTTTTAAATTTTTTTTTTGTTCTTTCTAAAATTTTTTAAAAGATTTTATTTACTTATTCATGAGAGACACAGAGAGCAGAGGCAGAGACACAGGCAGAGGGAGAAGCAGGCTCCATGCAGGGAGCCCGATGTGGAACTTCATCCTGGGGCCGAGGGATCACGCCCTGAGCCAAAGGCAGACACTCAAATGCTGAGCCACCTAGGTGTCCTATACTCACTCTTAAAGTCAGATGTCTGAATGCAAACTTACTCATTGTACTTTCTTCAAAAGCAGTCATTTCTCTTTTCCTAAAATGAAATCTTGTATCATTTCTATTTAGGAAAACATCTCAACCGTGTAAATAAATCTTCACCTAGTGTAATACTATAATATGAATCCTAGAATAACTCCAATATTTGTGGAGTAAGAACGGCTAGGTTGGCAACTTGCCTGTTCTGAATATTAAGTCAAAATTTTCTGGATATGTTTCACAAATATTTTTAGCCAGTAAGTCAGTTTAAAAGTTACTCAGGTATACAACATAATGGTTCAATATTTGTATATGTTGTGAAATGATCAGTGCAATAAATCTAGTTAACATCTACCCCGCAAATAAACCAATAAATTAATTTAAAATTTAATGCAGGGACACCTGGGTGGCTCAGTGGTTTAGAGCCTCCCTTCAGCCCAGGGCACGATCCTGGAGTCCCGGGGTCGAGTCCCACATTGGGCTCCCTGCATGGAGCCTGCTTCTCTCTCTGTCTGTGTCTCTGCCTCTCTCTCTCTCTCTTTCTCCCTGTCTCTCATGAATAAATCAATAAAATCTTTTAAAAAAATTAAAAATTTAATACAATTTTAATTGTATTCAAATAAATTAAAAAATTCAAATTTTACCTCCAGAAATTAAAAGCAAAGGATCATGACTGATTTTTGTAGAGTACACTGAACAAATAAAAACAATACAAAAATCCTAAATACTTTTTACAGAGAAATTGTAGCTACATATTCAATATTAATAAAGGACAATGATGTAAGTGCAATATCTCATACCTTGGTCGGGTCAGAATGTTCAATTTTCTTTTAAGTTGTTGATGTTATTACTTGTTAAGGAATATAAGCCCTCATTAAACAGAATCACAAGTATCATAAAACTCAACTACTCACTCCCTACTTTACGTGTCAGAATGTTAAAAGACCCGCAAATATTTTGAGGATGATACACTTAACGGAGCTCCTATTTTGTTGTAGAACTAGGCATTTAAACCTAAAAATTAAAATAGTTTTCTCATCTCTTCTTAGATATTCTGGGATCCCTGGGTGGCGCAGCGGTTTAGCGCCTGCCTTTGGCCCAGGGCGCGATCCTGGAGACCCGGGATCGAATCCCACGTCGGGCTCCCGGTGCATGGAGCCTGCTTCTCCCTCTGCCTGTGTCTCTGCCTCTCTCTCTCTCTCTCTCTCTCTCTCTGTGTGACTATCATAAACAAATAAAAATTAAAAAAAAAAAATAAATAGATATTCTAAGGCAGGGTCACGTAGTTCAAAAGTGACTAACCAAACCAAAAATGTTATTCCGAGTGACACCCCATCAAAATTTAAACAGCAATTCATTTTAAGAAAAAGCAGCATGGGACGCCAGGGTGGCTCAGTTGGTTAAGCATCCGACTCTTGATTTAGGCTCAGGTCAGGAGCCTGCTTAAGATTCTCCATCTGCCTCTACACCCCCCCCCCCCGCCACTTGTGCACGCACTCTCTCTCAAATAAATAAAATAAAATAAAATAAAATAAAATAAAATAAAATAAAATAAAATAAAATAAAATAAATAAAATAATAAAATAAAATAAAATAAATAAAATAAAATAAAATAATAATAAAAAGAGCAGCCTGATAAGCAATAAAGTCAATATGGTAAAACAAAGTCCTGATGACAAAAGAATCTAGGATAGAATCTTTGGATGTTCACCTTACAATCCTTTCAACTTTTCTGTATTTTGAAATCTCGCATATTAAAAGGTAAAGGAAAAAAAAAAAGCATCATGAAAAATCAAACTTCAAAACCCCTTAAAGATGATTTACCAACCGCTTTTAGGGGTTTATTTCAAACGGGAAACTATGTGAACCCGAAATCACCCGCATATAGTTCCAAAAAAAAAAAAAACCAAAACCAAAACCAAAACAAAACAAAACCACTCTCTAAGAACGTAAAGAAACATACTAACTAATCTTGCTAGAAAGGCTGTCATCATGTAACTAAGCCGAACGGAAACTTATCTGGCGCGTTTTTCCTAAAGCTTGGCAACGCACCTTCACCACGGAAGGCATTTCAAAGTCGAAGAACTTTAAAACGGACCCACCCAACTCTATCAGGCAACTGGCCATGCCTCGCTGATGCCTCAGCTCCTTGAAAGCCCCCGACCCCGCACCCTGGCCACTGGCTTCGACCCCACTGTAAAGCACAGATCCACGCGAAGGTCTGAGCAGCCGGCTCTCTCCTACGGACAAACGGCAAAATGACTGCATCGACTTGGGCTTGGCTGCAAAACACAAAACACAAAAAAAGGCAGAGCGGATAAGGACTTCAGAGAGGACAAGTGGGGGCCAGCCTACAACCTAGCAGTCTGGAGGCACCCTAAAAACCCAGCCCCAGCTCGGAGCTTGGGGGTGGGGGGAGCCGGCGAGGAGCACGTCCAGTCCAGGACGCGGGCCCCCGCGGCGGCGGCGCACGCGAGCCGAACCCTCCGTTCTCCGCCCGCCAGCGGCGACGAGAGACGACTCGGGAACTCCGGCCCCCCCGGGTCTCCGCCGCGCCCTCCCAGACAGGCCGCCCACCGCACGCCGGCGAGCCGGCCCGAGCGAGCGGGAAGGATATTCTCGGCGCGGAGCTGCTCGATGGTTTCCTCGCACTGCCGAAGCCGCTCCCGTAGCCCCGCGTCGCCGGCCCCATGCTCGTCCTCCTCGTCGCCGTCGTCGTCCTTGAAGCGGGTGTGAACGGGCTTCGGGATCGAGTCCTCTGGGTGGTCAAACGCCTCGAACAGCTCTAGGTCGCCAAAATCCACCTCCGCCGCCATGTTGGGCTGTGGGAGAGATTCGAGAAGAGGCGGAGCTGGCCGCCGGCCCGGGGGCGATGGTTGTAGGGCGGCACCGCTCGCTAGGGCTCGGACCGCGCCAAGCCACCGGGTAGACTTTCTCCAAACGTAGGCCGCCGAAGCTGCACAAGGGGCGGGTCAGCCCCCGAGAGACTACAACTCCCAGAATGCAATGGAAGTGACTCAGAGTCACTTCCGAGATTGCTAGGGAGCATGGCATGCTGGGACACATGGTTTCTAAGCGACTGTTAACTCATTGTTTGCATTGCATAGTGGGATTGTTCCTTTTTAAACGTGCGGAAAGCGTGCCTAGATCAGAATGGGTTAAAACAATATACCTTGTTCCTGTGATGCATCCAAGGCTGAAAAATCAGAGCGTGACGCACGTCTTATCACAGATTCTAGTGTGCGTGCTAAATTGCAACAACAGAATAAGGAACTCTAGTTTTGCCACAAATTCCCTCCGTGATCTTGGACAACCTATTTCAGTTTATTGGGCTTGTTGCACTTTTTCATGAAACACAGGCCAGCCAAATCAGACCGTTTTAGACTTGTGTGTTGCGGGTTTCCGTGGTTTCTCTCGTTCAATCTCTCATTCATTCAATAACATTGCTTTCCCACGTTCAAAGTGCCAGGCCCTGTTCTAGATCTCCAGGATGCAAGAGAGCAAAATAGAGAAATTACTGCTATGGTGGAGCCTACAGGCTAGCAAAAGGAACAAACAACAACAAAACAAAAAATCCTAACTGTTCTTGCTCTTGGGACCCGGGAGATGTTGATGGTGTTCATCATATTTAAAAGTATATGAAATAGGGACGCCTGGGTGGCTTAGTGGTTGAGCATCTGCCTTCAGCCCAGGGTGTGATCCTGGGGTCCTGGGGTCGAGTCCCACATCAGGCTCCATGCATGGAGCCTGCTTCTCCCTCTGCTTGTGTCTCTGCCTCTCTCTGTGTGTCTCTCATGAATAAATAAATAAAATATTAAAAAATAAAATAAAATAAAAGTATATGAAATAAAAACAGTGGGATGCCTGGGTGGCTCAGCGGTTGAGCATCTGCCTTCAGCTCAGAGCGTAATCCCCGTCTAGGATCGAGTCCCCCAACTGGCTCCCTGCGAGGAGCCTGCTTCTCCCTCTGCCTGTGTCTCTCTTGAATAAATAAATTAAATCTTTTAAAAAAGTATTTAAAAAAACAGCAAGTTATGGGCATGTAACAATTTACTTTGACAGAATCTGTGGGAATCAATGAACTGAGGAACTGAGGTTTGAATTGAACACACGAAATGTTAGGAGGGCAAAGTTGGTGAATGCAATGCGTGCAGACTTAAGAGCATCCTCCTTGAAGAAATCATATATGAAATGAAAAGAGAGTGGAGCACATGAGGCTGGTCACTTTAGGCCAGTACTCAGACCAGGTTAGGGAATTCTCTCTACACCCCCAAAATTGGGAAGTCATTTCAAAATTTTAAACAGGTAGTGAGTTCATGACCCACAAATTTTCATTTTGGTAAGATGGTCTTGATTATGTGATAAACAATTCAGGGATGCCTGGGTGGCTCAACGGGTTAAGCGTATGCCTTTGGGTCAGGTCATGATCCCAGCATCCAGGACTGAGGCCTGCATCAGACTCCTTCTGAGGAGACTGCTTCTCCTCTATGTCTCTGCCACTCTGTGTGTGTGTGTGTGTGTGTGTGTCTCATGAATAAATGAATAAAATCTTTAATAAATATATATAAAAAGAAAAACGATTGAAAATCCAGCAAAAGTAAAGTTCCGAGCCTAGCAGATTGATAGGTTTTTGTAGTCAAACCAATAAATATTAGTTTGGATTAGGGTAGTAGAAATAATGGTGGAGAGTTGATATTTAGAAGTAGAAAATAGAACATAAAATTAAATCAACAGTTAACTGGAGAGTTGGATATAGCAAATGAAAGAAAATGAGTCATGAATATTTCTCAAGATTCTGACTTCAGAAACTGAATAAATGATCAATGGATGTGGATCAGGTTTGGCAGCAACAAGGGAAGTTATGCGGTACCTTGAGGCAATTTTATCCTCAGAGGCAATAAAGAAGCAACTGAAGGGGCAGCCCCAGGTGTCCAGCAGTTTAGAACCGCCTCCGGCCCGGGATGTGATCTTGGAGACTCGGGATTGAGTCCCATGTCAGGCTCCCTGCATCCAGCCTGCTTCTCCCTCTGCCTGTGTCTCTGCCTCTCTCTCTCTCTCTGTCATGAATAAATAAATAAAATCTTTTTATTATTATTTTTAAAGATTTATTTTTTTATTTATTTATGATAGACACACACACAGAGAGAGAGAGAGAGAGAGAGAGAGAGAGAGAGACAAGCAGAGGGAGAAGAAGCAGGCTCCATGCCGGGAGCCCGACACAGGACTCGATCCCGGGACTCCAGGATTGCGCCCTGGGCCAAAGGCAGGCACGAAACCGCTGAGCCACCCAGGGATCCCAAATAAATAAAATCTTAAAAAAAAAAACTGGATTGGTGAAAAATTTTTTAAGCATTTGATATATTTTTCTTAAAGATTTTGTTTAGAGAGAGAGCCAGAGCAGGGGAAGAGGCAGGGAAAGAGTTTAAGGCAAATGCTGCACTGAGCATAGAGACCAACGTGGGGCTTGAACTTACAACCCTGAGATCATGACCTGGGACAAAAATCAGGAGTGGGATATTCAAATGACTGAGCCACCCAGGGACTCTTACACATTGATATATTTAAGGTAAAATCTGAGCCCCAATTGAGATGTTGTTTTCTAGGCAGCTGAATCTTTGAATAAAGCTCTGAGAAAAACGTCTGCACTAAAGGTTAACATTTGTTGTTTTTTTAAGATGTATGAATTTTATTTTATTTTATTTTATTTTATTTTATTTTATTTATTTTATTTATTTTATTATTTATTCATGAGCGACAGAAAGAGAGAGAGGGGGGCAGAGACACAGGCCGAGGGAGAAGCAGGCTCCATGCAGGGAGCCCGACATGGGACTCGATTCCGGGTCTCCAGGATCATACCCCGGGCTGCAGGCAGTGCTAAACCACTGAGCCACTGGAACTGCCCAAAGGTTAACATTTGGATGCCCCACATTTTTAAGGACATTAAATATAACTACGGTAAAGGGTAATTGCATAATGAAGAATACAGAGAAGAGTCTATGATTGAGTCTTGAGACAATGGGATGGAACTGACAAGAGAAATACAGAAATTGGTGGTGAATTGCCAGAGTGAGAGAACTGGGAGTGGATCCAATAGAAATTGTGTGTATATACAATTTTATTTTTGTGAATATTTGTTTTAAGAAGGATTTTTTTTTTAAAGATTTTATTTATTTATTCACGAGAGATAGAGAGAGAGAGGCAGAGACACAGGCAGAGGGAGAAGCAGGCTCCATGCACCGGGAGCCCGACGTGGGATTTGATCCCGGGTCTCCAGGATCGCGCCCTGGGCCAAAGGCAGGGGCCAAACCGCTGCGCCACCCAGGGATCCCTAAGAAGGATTTTTTTTTTTAAGATTTTACTTATTTATTCATGAGAGACACAGAGAGAAAGAGACACAGCCCGATGTGGGACTTGATTTCAGGACCCTGGAATCACAACCCCGAGCCAAAAGTCGACGCTCAACCACTGAGCCACCCAGGTGCCCCTTTTTAAAGGTTTTTATTTATTTGAGAGAGAGCAAGCCAGAGAGAGAGCACAAACTGAGGGAGGGGCAAAGGGAGAAGTAGACTCCCTGCAGAGCAGGGAAGCCCAATGTGGGGCTTAATCTCAAGGCCCTGGGATCATGACCCAAACCAAAGGCAGTTGCTTAATCAACCAAGCTACTCAGGTACCCCTAAAATTTTTTAAAGTAATCTCTACATCCAATGTGGGGATCAAACTTAAAACCCCAAAATCAAGAGCTGTGTGCTCTACTGACTGAGCCAGCCAGGCACCCCTAGAAGTTATATTTAAGTATGCACTTTATTTTTTTTAATATTTTATTTATTTATACATGAGAGACACACAGGCAGAGGGAGAAGCAGGCTCCATGCAGGGAGCCCGACGTGGAACTTGATCCTGGGTCTGAAGGCGGCACTAAACTGCTGAGCCACTCGGGCTGCCCTAAGTATACACTTTAATCACCTTTTGACCTATGAAATGTGTACTTGGAATGATATATAAAACTTGTTTCCATCTTCTTGCACCAAGTTACTTCTTCAATGATACTTAAGTTTTCTAAGGTTCATGGAATAAAGATCTACCCAAGCTGGAAACCTCATCTTTGAATTTTTTTTTAATTTTTTTTTAATTTATTTATGACAGTCACACACAGAGAGAGAGGCAGAGACACAGGCAGAGGGAGAGGCAGGTTCCATGCAGGGAACCCAACATGTGACTCGATCCTGGGTCTCCAGGATCACATCCTGGGCCAAAGACAGCTCTAAACCACTGGGCCACCCGGGCTGCCCCCACAACTACCTTCCAAGTTACCGTCAAAGCCAATTGCTCTCACATCACTACCATATCATTAAAATACCTCCTGAGGAGGGGCGGGGGTTGTCTGGGTAGCTCAGTTGCGACTTTCTGTAGCTGAGGTCATGATCCAGTGGGCTGGAGCCCTGAGTCCCTTCCTGCTCAGCAGGGAGTCTGCTTCTCCCTCACCCACTCTCTCCTTCTCACATGGTCTCTCTCAAAAAAAAAAATCTTAAAAAAATATTTCTGGGTGTACCTCGGTAGTTCAGTCAGTTAAGCTTCGACTTCTTAAAATTTAAATTCGATTAACATATAGTGGATTATTAGTTTCAGAGGCAGAGTTCAGTGATTCACCAGTCTTCCATAACACCCAGTGCTCAGGGCAGCCAGAGTGGCTCAGCAGTTTAGCGCCACCTTCAGCCCAGGTCCTGGAGACGTGGGATCGAGTTCCACATCAGGCTCTGCATGGACCTGCTTCTCCCTCTGCCTGTGCTCTGCCTGTGTCTCTCATGAATAAAATCTTAAAAAAAAAAACACAAAAAAACAAAAAAACAACAACAAACAAAAAAAACACACCCAGTGCTCATTCGGTCACACGCCCTCCTTTATAGTGTCTCTTAATCTTAGCTCAGGTCTTGATCTCAGATTGTTGAGTGGAGCCTACTTTATTTATTTTTTTCTTTTTTTAAATATTTTATTTATTTCTTCATAAAATAAAGATTTTATTTATTCATGAGAGACACACACACAGAGAGAGGCAGAGACACAAGCAGAGGGAGAAGCAGGCTCCATGCAGGGAGCGCGACACAGGGCTCGATCCCAGGTCTCCAGCATCAGGCCCTGAACCGAAGGCGGCGCTAAACCGCTGAGCCCCCTGGGCTGCCAGAGTGGAGCCTACTCTAAAAAATAGATCCCTGGGTGGTGCAGCGGTTTAGCGCCTGCCTTTGGCCCAGGGCGCGATCCTGGAGACCCGGGATCAAATCCCACATCAGGCTCCCGGTGCATGGAGCCTGCTTCTCCCTCTGCCTATGTCTCTGCCTCTCTCTCTCTCTCTCTCTCACTGTGTGCCCATCATAAATAAAAATAAAAATTTAAAAAAAATAAAATAAAAAATAAAGTATCTCCTGGACAGCAACTTACATTCTTGTTGCTTACAGGTAATAATCCTAACATATCCATCATGGAGTACAAGGCTTTGAAACTGAAAGCACAGTAATAGCCAGGAAAATGGGGGAAACAAAAGGTTAACACATAAAAACCACTGAATCTATCTCCCCTATAAATCAATTCCCAACTGAGCCAAGCAGCTCAAAGGTTTCCACCACCAAATCATTCCCCCCAATCAGGACTCTAAAAATTACTTATTCAAGTTAAATTATGTAACTTAAATCTATCTATATACCTCCCTCTAGATCTACACGGTCTAATCTGGTTGGCTACTTGGGACTGGCTATGAAGTAAAAATTGGGATGTACTAAAACACACTGGGTTTTAAAAATATGTAAAATCTTAAATTACTGAGTACCTAATAATTACTGATTGAATTATTTTAAAGTACATGTTGTACGAATGAAGTTATTTCATTTGTTTAAATTTGGCTACTTGGGTGTTTTAAATTACTGCTCTAGAGGAGTGCAGGATGGATCATATCCGTTATAATGTATGGTCAGTTCCTCAATACTATAGAAAAACACAGGAAGCAGTTAATGTGTGCTTTCATTTCCACGTTTGTTTATTTATTTATTTAGTTTGTTTTTTAAGGATTTTGATAGAGCACAAGCAGAGGGAGCCCAACCTAGGGCTTCCTTCCAGGACCCTGGGATCAAGACCTGAGCTGAAAGCAGACGCTTAACCCACTGGGCCATCCACCTGCCTCTTCACTGCCTTTTATAAGCCAATGAAAATTTGTTTTTTAAAAATTATTCTTGAGAGACACATAGAAAGAGGCAGATACAGGCAGAGGGAGAAGCAGGCTCCCTGCGGAGCACCCATAAAGGACTCCATCCCAGACCCTGGATCAAGCCGAGCCAAAGGAAGACAATCGCTGAGCTACCCAGGCGTCCCCTGAAAAGAAATTAAAAAAAATTTTTTTTCAGTTGAGTGCACACACGTGCAGGAACTGGAGGGGGAGAAGCCAACTCCCTGCTAAGCAGGGAGGCCAATATAGGGCTCTATCCTATCCCAGGACCCTGAGATCATGACCTAAGCTGAAGGCACTTAACCACCCATATGCCCTAGCCCATGGAAATTCCTAATTAAACTTATTTGAGAAGGTACAGAGAACTTGAAAATTTTGGTTTGGGGACACCAGAAGGAAACCCTCCCCCCCCACTCATTCCTCTCCAGAAACTTGACCTTGTCACTTAAGTATGAAGAGTCGTTTCTTTTTTTAAGATTTTATTTGATACACAGAGAAAGCATGTGAGAGCACAAGCAGGGGGAGCAGCAGGTAGAGGGAGAAGCAGACTTCTTGCTGAGCAAGGAGCCAGATGCAGGGCTTGATCCGAGGACTCTGGGACCATGACCCAAGGCAAAGGCAAACACCTGAGCCACCCAGGCACCCCGAAGAGCCATTTCTTCATAAAAGTATTGTGCTCTAGGAAAATGAGATTTAAACATTTACCAAAATATTTATACCTTATTTATCACAAAAACATGCCCAACAAGCAAGTTGGTCACTTATGAACTCATTTTAAAAATAAAGGTACAAGGGGTGCCTGGGTGGCTCAATGGGTGGTAGGACTCTTGGTTTTGGCTAAGATCATGATCTCATGGGTCCTGGGGATCAGCCCTGAGTCAGGGTCTGTACTCAGCAGAGTCTGCTTGAAGGATTCTCACTCTACTCACGTCTACTCTTTCTCTCAAAATAAGTAAAATAAAGGTAGAAGTTTTACCATTAAGTACACTTCCCTTGTATTGTGCTAATACATTGCAGAGTTGTAGGACTTTTCTAGGATAAGGTGAATCATGATTTTGTAGCAATAAATGCAAATGAATTACAAGTTTTATAGTTCCCTCCCTCTACCAGATTTATGCCCTATTTAATTTAGTGACAAACTATTTTCTAATATTTTAGTACTTTGTGCTACTGAAGACTTCAAAGGGATAATGAGCAAAGGGCATACCAAGAACTTGTTATAAGGCACTTTATTAAAATAAAAGTGCTTACATCCCTTTAATGTATTAATCTATTTCCTGAATAACATATGGAATATTGAACAAATAACTGTACACCAATTCTGTTCCTTACAGTAGTAGGAAAACAGTATTACTGTAGTAGTTTGTTTACTCCTCCCAACTTCCCTTTTACATTTTTGCTCACCATGGTATTGCCTAGAGCATAGTTAATTGTTCTTAAAACAAAAAAAAATTTCTTCCTAGTGTTCTCTAATAGCAATTGCAAAATGCTACAAAAACCATCAAACAAAATCAAAATAAGAATTCCAGGTAACTTAAATTAACACCAGTGTTGAGAAAACCATTTTTATTGTCATCACCACCCAGCATATTTGTGCTGGATTATGTACCAAATGGCCAGATCTTCTAAAGAACATCTACATAACATTTCTTTCATGTTTCAAGAGATGAAAATAACTGTACAAGGTTAAGTACAAAAGTACACAAGACAGCGGACACGAAATATCCATGTATGAGATTTTATCCCACCTGCAGCTTTTATATATTTGAAAAGTAGAATTCATGAACTAAAAAATATTGTCCTTCTATAGTCCTGTCAAGTTTAATGGAAGTGTGTTTAACCTGATTACAACACTAACACCAGTATCACTGATCTGATATTTACAAAAAATCGTATTTTTCAATAAATTAAAGTCAATGCAACACCCATGCAAGCTAGAATGCTAGCTGTTTGGTGAACAAGGACCTGACATCAGAACCAGAAGTCCATAAAGTCTCAAATATTAAGTCTGATCTCTTTCAAACTGCATCCATTCCTCGCATTGATGATGTGAAACCCAATCCCATTCCTCTCTGTGTGTGGGTTTGTGATCTTGCCATTTCATACTGAGCATCTAGGTTTCTAAATACTTCTTCCTGTTGCTTCAAAGTCTTGTAACTTTCTTCATCAACTGAGCTACATCCAGCTTCGTCTTCACTCTAAATATCAAATAAAAAATATATTATTAAAATAATAAATGGAAGTGGGAATAAGGTGCTCTTTTCAATTGATAGACTGATAAATTACATTTTTAGAATATGTATTTGACCTCAATTATTTAGCTTCCATTCATTCAGCACCTATAGAGTGCAAGGCAATGCCCTTTCTAGGTATTGGGATTAAGCCAGGATAATAACACGAATCAACTTCATATTAATGGGTATGAGTATGTAGAACATACCTTTAAATAAGTAAAGTCTAGAAGAAAAGCAAAAAAATGCTATTTTCAAAAAGCAAGGGAGGGAATCCCTGGGTGGCTCAGCGGTTTAGCACCTGCCTTTGGCCCAGGGCATGATCCTCGAGTCCTGGGATGGAGTCCCGCATCAGGCTCCCTGCATGGGGACTGTTTCTCCCTCTGCCTGTGTCTCTGCCTCTCTCTTTCTCTGTGTCTCTCATGAATGAATGAATAAATAATTTAAAAAACAAGGGAGAAAGGACTCAAAAAAGTTGACACTTGAGCAGAGACCAAACCAAAGCATGATGTAGGGAGCTGAGGGAAGAAAAGAGGAGGGGAAGCTTAGAACACGTGGGTGGCTCAGTTGGTCAAGTGTCTGCCTGTGGCTCAGGTCCTGATCCCAGGGTCCTGAGACTGAGCCCCATATTGGGCCCTCTGCTCAGCAGGCAGTCTGTTTCTCCCTCTCTACCCTTCCCCCTCTGCTTGTGCTCTTTCTCTCAAAAGAAAAACAATCTTAACAAAAAACCCCCAAACCAAACAAAAACCAAAACAGCCAGCTCAGTGCAGCTTAGTTTAAGCCAATATTCCTTCAGTGAAAAACCAACTCCCTTAAGTAATAATACCTGAGTGTCTGTGAACTTTTCCAGGTTGTTTTTTTTTTTTTAATGTTAGGCTTTTTTTTTTTTTTTAAAGATTTTATTTATTTATTCATGAGAGACAGAGAGAGAGGCAGAGACACAGGCAGAGGGAGAAGCAGGGATCCATGTAAGGGAGCCCCTTGTGGGACTCGATCCCGGAACTCCAGGATCATGCCCTGAGCCAAAGGCAGACGCTCAACTGCTGAGCCACCCAGATGTCCCTCCAGGTTTTTATTTATTTTTTTTTAATTAATTTTTTCCCCTCCAGGTTTTTATATGAAATCTAGTACTAGAACTGTACCAACAAAGCCAAACAAAAAACACCAAGAAAAATAAAACCCAAAACCAAAAACCTACATCTTTTAAAAAGCTTGCTGGAAATTTTAAATATTGTGGTCTTACTCCAAGAACAGTTAGCTTTAAATGAGCATATTAAAAAAAATTAATTTCCATTTACAAGTTCATTTTTATTTACTTAGAAAAGCTTATGATCGGAAAAAGGTTCACCTAAGGTATAAAGTTATAACCAACAAACATGTTAAATTGAGTAATTTGTCTTGTCAACTACTGATAACAGAATTCTGTCAAATTAATCTGAAGAAAAATCAAAAGAACACCACAAAATACCCAGGGTTCACACATTACTGAAATAACTTTTAGGATGAGGACCAATGTTAACCTGAAAATGCTAATATGAATTCTAATTCAAAGTGTGTAACTTACCTTAATACCCATTAATTTCCTGAATTTGACATTTTGGTCCTTGTTTCCAAAATTCAATTTTTCCCATATTTCAGCAGATTGGGATTTATCCTGTAAAGAAACAGTGACTTTTACAATTCATAAAATTTAGCTATCTTTTATTAGGATATTAAATCTCTGTAATAAGGTCTAAAAGAAACAATAACATTTATAGCACTTTATCAGTGCTTATAATTATTTTTTCTATCACAAAATAAGGAAGCAAAATAGAATTAAGTGCTTAATAATATATCCTTTATGAAAAAGTCTAAGTCAAGAAGCATCTTTCCCCCTTATAAACATATGGGAATACTGTTTTTCTTTGCATTAATACTGGTTTTCTCCAACATTAATTTGTGTGGTAAATTAAAAAATATTACGATCAGGTTTTCAGAAGAAAAATAAACCCAAACCAATCTTTTCCAATCCAAATTTGTTTTCCTAAACAACTGCTAATTAGGAATAAATGACAAAAGAGGGGAATTAAAAAACTTACCCCTTCTTTTTTGCCTTGCCAAAGCATTTTCCTTTTTTTCTCTTGTTCAGCAAACTTCATTGGATTCACAGCTGCTGGGTTATAATAGCTAGGTACAGCTATTCCGGTCTCTGCCAAAGCTTTAGCCTGCAGGGCAGCCATTTGAGCTGCCATAGCTATCTGAGGAGTTACTTGTGTTCCCGATGCCAACAAAGCAGCAACATTGAGAACAGAACCTCCGGTGGCTGCAGCTGCTAAAGAAGAGTTCAGCACAGATTTTACTTTTTTTAAGCACAGATTTTAAAACTAACCAAAGCAACATCCTGATTTACATTAGTGCATTTATATTTAAGAACTAATCTATAAAAAAGCACTAACATCTTCAAAATAAATGCAGGTTTATAAAGCAATTATCATTTTAACAAAATGTATTGTATATATTTGTAATAGACATCTCTAGATATGATCCCTTATATATACTAATACTTTATATGTCTACAAATATAAGAATTCTACAAATAGTAAAAAGATTGTGATTTCAATGAAAATGGAACTATGGTACTTGTATCTAAACTTACAATAAAAACTATTTGTATGGTTCTTTAAAAGCTTACAAAATGGTTACTAGACATTCATTTGAAAGTCTTTCATTGGGCTCTGCACTTAACAGGGAGTCTGCTTGGGATTCTCTCCCTCTGCCCCTCCCCCAGGCACATGCTTTCTCTCTAAAATAAGTAATCTTAAAGGGAAAAAAAAAAAAAAAAAGGGTTCCTCGGTGACTCAGTCAGTTAAGCATATGATTCTTGATTTTGGCTCAAATCAAGATCAAGGTTGTGAGACAGAGCCCTGCATTGGGTTCCACACTGGGCCCAGGCCTAAGTCTCTCTCTCTTTATCTCCCTCTGCCCCTCCACCCCTAAAATTAATGAATAAAGGTAATTTGTACAATTTCTTAACATTTAAAAAAAATTTATTTTAAACTAATCTCTACACCCAACATGGGCTCCAACTCACAACCTTGAGATCAAGAGTCGCATGCTCTACCAACTGAGCCAGACAGGTACTCCAATTTGTACAGTTTTAGATTTTTAAAAAAAATTTTAAGAAGATTTTTAGTCATGAGATAGACAGAGAGAGGCTTAAACATAAAAAAAGGCAGAGAGAGAGCAGGCTCCATGCAGGGAGCCTGATGTGGGACTTGATCCTAGGACTCCAGGATCATGCTGAGCCAAAGGCAGATGCTGAGCGGGGTCAGGCATCCCAATTATTATTATTTTTTTCCAAAGATTTTATTTGAGTAGAGACAGCATGAGCAAGAATGGTTGGAGGACAGGGGCGGAGGGAAAGGGAAAAGCCTTTCCACTCTCCACTGAGCAGGAGCCTGATGGCATAAATTGAGCCGAAGGCAGGCACTTAACTCACTGAGCCACCCATGTGCCCCAATTTTAGATTATTTCAAGAAATACCAATTTACTAGGAATGTCAACAAGCCAACAAAAAAACACCTTCCAAATTAATTTCATGCAATTCAACAAACTCTCTTTGATCACCTTTAGTCATTCAGAGGCAATGTTTGTGTTATGTCTAATAACCTAATTTATTTTTTTTTAAGATTTTATTTTTTTTTATAAATCTTTTTTTTTAAAATTTTTATTTATTTATGATAGTCACACAGAGGGAGAGAGAGGCAGAGACATAGGCAGAGGGAGAAGCAGGCTCCATGCACCGGGAGCCCAACGTGGGATTCGATCCTGGGTCTCCAGGATCGCGCCCTGGGCCAAAGGCAGGTACCAAATCGCTGCGCCACCCAGGGATCCCTAAGATTTTATTTATTTATTAATACACACAGAGAGAGAGAAAGAGGCAGAGACACAGAGGGAGAAGCAGGTTAGGTTCCATGCAGGGAGCCCGACGTGGGACTCGATCCCAAATCTCCAGGATCACTCCCCAGGCTGCAGGCGGCGCCAAACCACTGCACCACCGGGGCTGCCCTAATAACCTAATTTCTTACCTCAGTTCAATCATCATCTTTAATAAACTGCATTTTTCCCAAAAATCATGACTAAAAGACATGTGCAGTCATGGTTAAAGTGTTGTATGAACAAGAACGGTGACTATTTACATGCCAAAATCATGTGCATCAACCAAGTAAATACACATGCAGGGACCCCTGGATGGCTCTGCGGTTGAGTGCCTGCCTTGCCTCAGGCCATGATCTGGGAGTTCAAGGATCGAGCCAAACAATGAGCTCCCTGCATGGAGCCTGCTTCTCCCTCTGCCTATGTCTCTGCCTCTCTTTTTAACACATAAATAAAATCCTAAAGAAAAAACAAACAAAACAAAAAAACCCACACATGCATGAAGTACTTATGAGGCATGAAAAGTTAACATTGAAAATAAAATGTTCACATTTCAATAATAACAATAATAAAGAGGTTTACAGTGCACTGATGGGTAGAGCAAGGATCATGGGTGATTTGCTTCATATTATTTTTCTCAACTTTTTAGATTTAGATTTTCTACAAAAAATGCCATACTTCCATAATAAAGAAAATTACCTGCAGCTATTTCTTGTTGTTTTTGTTTTTCAACCATTTCTTTTTCTCGCTGTTCTTGTAATTTCTTTGCTCTTTCCAACCTATCAAAAGCAATTTCAATGCATTTAAAATAACACTCAATATAAACCAGTATTTATCTTTGTATTTCTCCATATGTATAGACATGACACACATTTTACATAGATTTTTAAATTAAGTTTAACACAATTTGGTATCTGTATGTGTGTGTGTGTGTGTGTGTGTGGGGAAAGCTTTTACTCTTAATATAGTTACTGTTAGAGAATATTTCAATACTGGTTTAAGAAAATGTTTTCCTTTTTAATTTTTAAAAAAGATTTTATTTATTTGAGATAGAGAGCAACAGCAAGGTGAGTAGATGGAGGAGGAGAGGGAGAAGCAGGCTTCTCTCTGAACAAGGAGCCCAATGCAGGGGGCTGGATTCCAGGACTATGGGATTGTGACCTGAGCTGAAGGCAGATCCTTAACAGACTGAGCCAGTCAGGTGTCTCTCAATACTGGTTTTCAACATTTTAAAGTGGAATAGCCAAAAAACCAATCAATCAACGAAACAACAACAAAAAACCTGGAAAGTTTTAAAACACAGTACTCACAGGGAATTGTTTTAAAAAGTAAAAATTACTCAACCTTTATCAGTGGTTAAAGGGAGTAAGGATAAAATTACATCTTGCAATGACATATTGAGAGCTGAGAAAATCTTAGTAGAGTATGTTAAAAATATTAAACAATGTTTATAGAATTACCTACATGCTTCTTAGGGGAGGCTGATACAGGATAAGGTCAATCAAAATATGCCAATTATGACTTTTGTATCTAAAAAGACTTTTAAGTTAACAAAAATTTAAAAAGCCAAAAATAAAAGAGGCAGAAACCCTATCAGCCATTCTTTACAATCTAATAAAATGGGGGAAAAAAACCCTCAGTATTAGAGAATGAACTTTCAGCAGCTTAAATTCATCATTAGCAAAAGAACAGGAAACACGAAACACAAATTCATCCTCAGACAAAATAAAAATTGTTCACACTAAATTTACTAATACATATACTAAATGTGCTGTCAAGACAGTATCTACTTCTTATACAACAAACTTTAAGTGATATCTTCGTGAGTTCCTGAAAGACAAATCCCTTTTCTTCAAGACTCTTTAACTCTCCAATCTTAAGTTAAAAGCAACTCCCTTCCTCCTTTAAAGTGTATAAAGGGGCAAAGATTAAGGAAAAGGTTTTTTATTTTAGGGCACTATGGGTAGTGAAATGGCATTGGCTTTGACAATGAAATTTACATAAAATGAATAATATTTTATTCCCTTTTACTAAGCACACGTACAAGTAAGACACAGTACTATGACTCGATTTTGTCCTTGAGAATAAAAGGTTCTGATTAGGGGTAACATTAAAATTTTGGCACACAAATATCAAAACTATTTTCAAAGCAGTTTAAAAATTCTGTCCTAAAAAATAAATAAAAAAATAAAATAAAAAATAAAAATAAAAATTGTCCGTATTAAAAAACAAAAAAGGAACAACAAAAATCAGTCTACATACTGTAGTTTATTAATAAAAGATCTCCCTTCAAATTTCAACTGTAGCCAAGGAGCAACCTAGTATTTTTAAATGAGTTATTTCATGTAAACTTATCATCTGAAAATAACTAAGTAGATTATTTTTCTTAAGTTTTAGAGGCTAGTAACAGCTTCAACTTTAATAAAAGCCAAAAATTAAAACACAACCAACTTATAATAGACTTTAGGGCTTAAAAAAAATACTGGTCACACGTAACAGACCACTCATTATAATTTACTTCAAGTATTATTTAGTTCTGTTGAGTTTAGTTTCAGAAAGAAAATGATTGACTACTACTGGTGCATATTTAAAATGGCCATTGCAGGTTGGAATTAACACCATTCACTAAGGTGAATGGAATGAAGAAGGGGCGAGCTCACACCTTTGCTGCTGCTGCTGTTCAGCTGGAGTTTCTGCCAGGCTGGGTTCACAGGGCAGCAGCCCATCAGCTTACATTGTGATAACTGTATTTTTGTAATGAAAAAAAAATACAAACTCAATTTCATAAGGAAAAAAAACCCCAAAATCAAGAGTATAGTTTTCAGAATATGGGAAAACCTGCAAACAAGTGCTTGGATTTTACTTTACTTCTTGCCTTTCTATATGAGGCAGTTCTTTCAAGGGTTTTGCACATTTTGGCCAAACAGCCCTGCTGTGTGTAGTCCCACCAATTACCAGAATATTTTTGAAATGCTACAGAATTAAAAGATACAATGATCTTGCTTTATTAGCATTAAAATTTACAATATCTAATAAATCACCTTGTAATGTTTATTACTTGCCACCTTTAAAACAAGAAACCTATTGAGGGAATTGTTTCAGACTTTGTTTTCTTGAGGAAGAAAAACAAAAGGGACATGAACTTTCAGAGGCAAAATTTAAGATTTCTTGAATCAGATTTAAGATTTCTAAAAAAGTTTCAATTGCAAACCAAAAAATATTTAGGAGCTTAAATTTGATAAAAATGAATTAATGAGGAAAAACAGAGAAACTGTTGCTGACATTGTAATCTTTCCAGTTGTACAAAGAGGCAAATGTTAAAATGAGAATTGACATACTTAGTTCTAGATCAGAATTGGCACAGAATGTATCATGAATAGATTTAATTATTTGACTTAAACTCTAAAAGAATTTTTGTCCACACGATTACCTACTTCAAGTTGAAAAAGAAAAATGCATCAAATAAAAATATACCTACCTCCTAGCTAAAGCTTCCTGTGCATCCATTGCTGTGTTTCTGCCTCTGAAGGGAGGTGGACTAGGAGTTCGGCTTAAACTTCTGCTAAATCTTCTTGGTTTTTCAATTCTCTTCTTTCTATCTCTGTAACAGGCATTTCACACATTGCAATATGGCCAAGCAGTAATAGTTTAATCCAAATCAATTATAGTTACATAGATTGAACAAAAATGAAAATAGTAGCCAATATATTAGGAATCCTTTCCTCTCCACCTCTGTCCTCCAGCTTCTACAAAGTATGGAAGTCCCTTGAAAATGCTAATTTTCTGTAAGTTCACTTAACCACCCGTTAGACATTTAAGATGTTTTCCAATATTTTGCTATTACACCCACTATAACAAAGGTTAGCTTTAATACACACATCAGTCTTTTTATATTCATGTAGGTCAATATGCAGGATAAATCCCTAGTAGTGGATCCATAGTTCAAATGTTCCTAGTATTTTACTCTACAGTGAATTAATTTGTAAAAAGAAAAAAAAAAAAAAAAAAGCCCCAAGCACATAATCAGGAAAACGAAAGAATTAGGAAAGATTAAAAAAAAAAAAAAAAGGCACTGACCAGAAAAAAATAGAGTAGCAGTGGTCAAAATTAGAAATGCCATAAATGATGTCTTACATTGCCCAGATGGAAAATAAAAAACTAATAATTAATGGTGAAATTATTATTTATCCTGTCGACTAAACTTCATAATTGGCAAAGCTCAAATTAAACTACTAACAAACTAATTAGGGCAGCCCCGGTAGCTCAGCGGTTTAGTGCTGCCTTCGGCCCAGGCTGTGATCCTGGAGACCTGGGCTTGAGTCCCACGTCGGGCTCCCTGCGTGGAGCCTGCTTCTACCTCTGCTTAGGTCTCTGCCTCTCGTGAATAAATCCATAAAAATCTTTAAAAAACTGATAAACAGTAGTAGCTCTTTCTGCCCATGGGTCCTGTCCCTATGCTTTAATAAAACCATTTTGCACACACACACAAAAAAGCAAAAACCAATTACCTGATTAACAAGTGATAAGCTAAGTCATAATAAGTAACATAGTCTATATTTCAGTCTTTAGACTAACCTGAGGAATAAACTAACAAAAAAAGCTTTAGTTAATATCAGTATCTGTGCATATGCACTATTAACAATTGATGTAAGTAAATAGACTAAATATATTCCTGATTATTTAAAAATTTTCTGTAGTTCTCTTTATTGTACTTCCTGTCTCAACAAATTAAAGCTTCCTCTCGATCAAGACAGGTCTGAATTGGGCAGCCCGGATGGCTCGGCGGTTTAGTGCTGCCTTCAGCCCAGGGTGTGATTTTGGAGACCCAGGATCAAGTCCCACGTCAGGCTCCTGCATGGAGCCTGCTTCACCTTCTGCCCCTCTCTCTCTCCTCTCTGTGTTTCTCATGAATACACAAATAAAATCTTAAAAAAAAAAAAGAGAGAGAGAGAGAGAGAGAGACAGACAGTTCTGAATTAAGCTCAACTTTTTGAGTACCTGAGATAGTATATACATGCTATATGTGTGGGTAAAGTACGTATATTGACTTTGCATTCAGACATACTTGGGACTTGATCCTGATCATTTAATAACTTCATACCATTTAATAACTATGATTTGAGGCTTTCTGGCCAAGTTACTTAAGCTCTCTAAGCCCAAGATATCTTAACTCACAAAAGTTGTTTTGAGACTGAAATGACCTAGTACATGGAAAAGAGTGTTGACATAACACATAGTGTATGGCGGATATGCAATAAATGTAAGCTACTGTGATTATACAATTAATAATTCAACATTCAAAACAACTCAAATAATTTTATTTTTTTAAAGAACAGAAGGAGAAGCAGGCTCCCTGCAGGGAGTCTGATGTGGGACTCAATTCCAGGACCCCAGAATCATAACCTGAGCCAAAGGTACATGCTCAACCACTCAGGTGCCCCAACTGAAATAATTTTATTTTTTCTGAAATAATTTTAATAGAGGATTATTTCTACCTGCACTTTAAAGAAGATCTGATTGATTACATATGCTATCTAAGATGTTTAGATTTGTTATTGGTCAGAATGTTATTGAAAGAAGATAAACATTGGGCAGCCCGGGTGGCTCAGCGGTTTGGCACTGCCTTTGGCCCAGGGTGTGATCCTGGAGACCCGGGAGTCTCACGTCAGGCTCCCTGCATGGAGCCTCTTCTCTCTCTGTGTCTTTGCCCACCCCCCGCCCCCGTGTCTCTCGTGAATAAACAAATAAAATCTTAAAAAGAAAAAGAAGATAATAAACAGACCCTATGAGGGACCTATCTGATTTTATTCAAGATGATGAATACTTACCGACTTCTACTCCTTGTTCTACTCCTGCTTCTACTCCTATGCCTGTGTCTTGATCTTGAACGGGAACGAGATCGGATCCTACGTTTTCTTTCCCTGCTTCTGGATCGTGACTTCTTCCTCTCTCTGCTTCTGGATCTTGATTTCTTCCGCTCCCTACTCCTGGATCGAGACTTCTTCCGCTCTCTGCTTCTACTACGATGACGCCTGAAATTTAAGCACACAAATTTAAAGTTACTTAGTGCTGTGTCTTTTCCAATTAGACATTATGAATTAATTATCTGCAGCGTGTGCTGTCAAGCCAGGCAGTAAACTGCTCTGCATTGTGTGTAGAAAGGATAATTGAGCCTTCTAAGGGAAGAAGTTCTAACAAATGAGCCTTTATTCTTGTTTGATGATGTCTGAGGGGCATGATAAAGCTACAAGTCAAAAATGCAATGAACCCTAACTCAAGATTCTGCTTAACACTTTAAAGTCTATTAACTACCTTACTGAAGTATTTATGCAACTTAAAGATGATATTGAAGTTAATCTACTACTGAAAAATTTTGACCCAATCAGATACATCATGTATATGTATTTCCACAGAAAACTCCAAGCATATGTTAAACATTGGCTTACTTTCTTTTTTGGAAGATTTTATTTATTTATTCATGAGACACAGAGACATAGGTAGAGGGAGAAGCAGTCTTCCCTGTGGGGAGCCCAATGCAAGACTTGATCCCAGGATCTTGGATCATACCCTGAGCCAAAGGCATACACTCAACCACTGAGTCACCCAGGCGTCCCAACATTGGTTTCTTTAAATAAAAATTCCGGGAGGTGGCTCAGTTGGTTAAGTGTTTGCCTTGGTTTGGCTCAGGTCATGATCGCAGGGTCCTGAGATCAAGCCCCACATCAAGCTCCCTGCTAAACAGGGAGATTCTCCTCCCTCTCCCCCTGCTTTGCTCTCTCTCAAATAAATAAGCCAAATCCTTAAAAAATAAAACAAAACATACTTGCTAATTGAACAAGTTAATCAATCATAATCATCCTTTTATCCCCTAGCCTTGAACACCATTTTTGCCTTTATCAGAAAATGCTCCAAAGATTTCAGCTATAAGCAGACATTAGTAGGCAAAGGACCACATTAGTGGTCAAGCTACCAAAAAAATTTCTTACCTTCTAATCTAATTAAGATTGTTTGGGTATCTTTGGGTTCATAAGTAGCTTTGCATAATATAGCTCTTTAAATGGCACTAACTTATAAACACCAAAAACTACTTACCTTTCACGAGACCTAGATCTTGAATGACTTCTGCCTCTCGATGATTTTCTTTCTTTGCGTTTGTGTCTGTCCTCGCCGTTTTCAGATGAATTTAGTCGCTCTCTTCCTTTATCAGAAGAATGTTCTTTATCATTATGTTCCTCAGACTTGTGTTTCTTAGAAGATTTATCTTTGGATTCATGTCTTCTTGCCTGTTTTAAGAAGAAGTTGGTTCTTTCAGGAAAATAGTGCAACAAAGAGAGTTAGTATGGGTTATCAGTAGACAAAAATGTTGTGATGCAACATTAGTAACCTTAGGAGTGTGTGGCAAATAAAAAAAAAAATGATCTAGTTTCACATCACCCAAATGTTGCTGATGAATATTACTAATCTTGTCTTTATAAATCTCAAAAATGCAGTTTCCTCCCCAAAATAACATTATTAAAACAATGATTTTTCAATGTTGACAATGATTTTCAATGTTAAAATACTGAAAAACCCATTATCAGAAAAAGAGGAATCCCTGATGTTTCTTTTATCTAAAGGAATAAGGGAAGTACATATATATCAAAACTTTCAAAATCTTTCAACAAACCTTTTAGAGAAACATCATATATACATATATACATCAACTTCTAAAACCAGAGTACGTATTATTTTTGATTTAAAAACTTAGCAATAATGAAGATGATCAGGACACAAAGAAATGCACCGGAAAACGCATTTCAATTAGGTAGCTAAATAAGATTAGTCTTACTAATTATTAGTATTTTCTGCAACTTTAAATTAAATTACTTTACGCAGAGTTGAAGTGTCCTTTTTATAGCTATACTGCCACATCCTCTCTAAAAGACGGCTCTTGATTTTTCTCCCAAAGTCTAAACTGTGATGAAATCACTTTTCATCTTGCAATATCCCAACGAGCTTGAAGTTCTATTACATTTCATGTACCTAGGGCAGAAAATGGCAACCGTATCTGTTTTAATTTTTATGAAACCAAATTAGGCATAACATAATTAATCCCTAAACCATTATGTAATATATATTTCTTCCATACTCTGAAAGATTAAAAACCAAGGCTTTTGCTTTCACAACATATGCATTCAGAGACTGAGCTAAAATTAATTGCATGATCAAGTCTCCATCCTACACTCACGTACCAAATTAGGAAGTGATAAACTAGATCTCTTCATATTAAGTTGGCAAATCCAACTTTTAGCTAAAGCTTAAAATCCTTGACATCTCGAAATCACAATTTTAAAGCTGGAAGGAAACTCAGATCCTCTTAACTCCCCTTAAGTACAACTAAGATTTAAAGTCACAAAGCTACATGGTAGCAGCTGAACCCAGACCCCATGGTTCTTCCTATGCCCAGGCCACTGCTTTTCTACTACAACAGGACACTTAACTCATGTTTCCCAAAACAGGCCAAAACATTTTTCTTTCCACTCAAGATTAACTTTCCTTAAAAAACAAAAAACTTGGCCAAACATTTTGGAACATGCATGATATATCTGAAAGGAATCATAGAACGTTATTTAGGATTTTGCAGAAAAGAGACCTGGAGACAGCTAAATTTTAGTTTCATTGCCAGTTCTCTATAATAAGAACTTACAAAAGTATTTCCTTGTTTTTGCCATATAGTGGCAAACTGGAAAAGCTTTAAGTGGTTCAACTTCTAAAGGTTTTAGTTATTTCAAACCAGTTTTCCAAACATAACATTACTATTAATTAAAAAAAAAAACATTAAAACCCTTAACTGATTTAAGATATACTTAAGGGAAATAGGAGTTTGAATGACTAATAGTTACCTTATCATGAAGTAGGCTTATTATTTTGCTATCTGAGTCTGCAGCGTCTTCAGTTCAGTCTCTTCGCGCATTAGCACGCTGAGTATGATTTATTATAGAAATGTTATCATGTGAGCTAAACAAAATAGTCATTTTCACAAAAACTCTCCTAAATTAAAAATTTAACAGAGCTTCCATTAGGGGAAGAGGTGAAGTCCCTGCCCACATTTTTTTTTTAGGAGTCCCTTGCCCAGCCCCCATAAGACTCTTCTCCTCCCTTTTTGGTTCCTACTTCTGTTCTTCCTTGTTGGCTCATTCCTGGTCTTCTCAGGTGGGCAAGCAAGTTAACTCCTTTGCAATACAGGTGCTGCCTTTGTTTTTCCTCAAGTTTTGCTGTCACCGCCACCTTTCCAGCTGTCCCTCACAGACACCTTTATTTCAAAATTCAACACTATTCTTAAGGAAACGGAAATGGCTGCTAATGAAAAGAGGACTCTCATTCTCTTCCATAAAGAAAAAGCCCACAGGTACCTAGGTTATTGCTACTTAAAGATGATTGCTATATGAAAATCCTGAGCAGTCGTCAGGTATAAGGAGACTCGGGACCTCAGATTAATGGAAGCTCTGTGTGACAGGCCTAAAAAAACCAATTATAATCTTCATATGAAATTTTTATTGTGAATATTTTCACAACATAATAAAATTAATAGTTTTTGAATGAACTTTTCATATAAACAACTATCTTCTTGAATAATGATGAATCCATATCATGCTTATTTTATAACCCAATTAACCTTTTAAATTTCAAGTTTTCGTACTTACCTTGATAATATCATATATCACACAAACATTTCTACCAGATACTTTACAAGTATTTTAAAGTGCCTATTCACTACAAAGTGTTAATTACCTCTTTGCTTCTGCTCCGGCTCCTGTGTTTTCTTCCTTCATTATCTGTAAATACACATAAAAATTCACCATAAACAAGATACAGAAACATCTCAAACACAAATTCCAATACTCAAATAAAGGACAATTTCCAACCCATTTTACTAAATTAAAATTCTACTTACTATTTTCCAAAGACTATTTTTTATGGCAGGGTGAGTTTATTCTACCAAATACCACTGTGTGTGTGTATGTGTGTGTGTGTGTGTGTGTGTGTGTGTGTGTGTATGAGAAACAAATCAAGCAATCTGAATAAACCAGAATATAACAGAGTATGCAACCTGCCACCCCAAACCTTTTAAGGCAAGTCAAAAACAGATACTCTCTTTCAGTTTGTCATAGATTCTTAATTCACAAAACATACTGACTAGCCCATCTTGTTTTCCACTGCACAGAAAATTTATAAAGGGACATGTTAGAGGTAAACATGAACAAAGAAAACAAGAATGCAAGAGAATAAACAGCTTGAACTACATTTGGCATTAGTCAAAGGGTGCTATAGTTTATTTTTAAAAGATTTCATTTACTTATTCATGAGAGACACGCAGAGACATAGGCCAAAGGAGAGGGAGAAGCAGGCTCCCCTAGGGATCACACCCTGAGCCAAAGGCAGAGCTCAACCGCTCTGAGACATCCAGGGGTCCCAGGGCGCTACAGCTTATTTATTTATTTAAAGATTCCATTTACTTATTCATGAGAGACAGAAGAGACAGAGGGGGGTGGAGGGAAGTAGGAGCAGAGACACAGGCAGAGGGAGGAAGCAGGCTCCCTGCAGGAAGCCCGATGCAATCCAGGGACTCCAAGATCACCCTCTGGGCCGAAGGCAGGCGCTAAACCACTGAGCCACCCAGGAATCCCCAAGGGTGCTATAGTTTAGATGCTCAATTAACCTCTTCATTAAATAGCCACACTAATTTTAAAAAAATACAGCAAAACATCTTACTTTCTACAACACATCAGTCTAATTCTTTTTCAAGTAAACAAATAAGAAACATCTCAAAATGCCCAAACCTCGTTTCAGAAACATTCTAACATTAAATGAAAAACAAAGTTAAAAATGTTCTTGTAACTTACATCAAAATGTTAAAACAATTCTGAATAATATATCACTGCCCAGACACATCTTTCAAAATATTTTGCCTATGTTGAAAGTATGAAATTTAAACGTCTCAGGGTAAAAAAACCTACCCCCTCCCCAAAATCCCAGGATACAACACAATTTTGCCTTTGGACAAGTTATAAAATTTCCGCATGAAGACATTTATGTTTCTCAGAACTGAAAAGTTCTCCGGAAAATTATCAATGTACTTTAATTATTCATTTCTCAACTAGAAAGAATATGTATTAATTATATAAAAAACTAAGTATGCGTCTTATACACACAACGACATGGATTTTAACAAATGCTGATAGTGGTAATTAGTTTGCAACAATTCATACCTGACTTTCGTTTTCTTTCTCTTGACCTTGATCGTGATCTTGAATAATGATGTTTTGAGGCTCTAGGAGAAATAGATACATCTGACTGCTCTTTTTTCTTATCTCTATCTGGGGATGTCTTTTCTGGGGCTAGTCCATCTCGCTCTGTATCACTAGCCTAAAAGTTTAAATAAAGAGAAATGATTATTAAGTTCTTAATCATATTTAAAATGTTTTCAACTTCTTAAAAGAGGAGGAAGAGAATAGAAAATCATCTCTGAGTTCTACAAAATTAAAGGCCAATTTCTAAATAAATATTATTTGTACCTAATAAGCCCGAATAGATTGAAATGACTAACCCAATAACAAGAGACTAATGTCCCTAACTTTCAAAAATCATTATTTTCATAACTTTCAAAACAATAGGGGAAGGGGAACAATCAGGGCTCCAAATATTTCCAATTAACTATTCAAGCAGAGAAAATATAGTCCATTTTAGATTTGTAAAGTCATTTACCTGGCTTTAATGAATACTTTTATTTTTCATTAGCAAAAGCATTTAAAAACGAACTGGTAAAATTTATAGACTTAAGTATGTAAAAATCTAAGAATAGCAGAGAATGCTTCTAGATTATAAAAGAGTAAACAAAATTAACTTACCTATCTGAGAACCCAATCTTAATTTCATTAACCCTCTTTAATGAAAACAGCCCCTTGGCACAGTGCTGCTGCAAAATATGGTCTGCCTCTCCTCACATATGCTCTGGGCTATGGAAACATTAAGTTGTTTCTGCTTTAAAGCATTTTATAAATTTTCACAATGCAAATTTTGTAAAGTTAAAAAAGTACACATTCTTTCCAAAGAGTCCTTTAATTAAAAAGAGGTTCCTCCATCTAAATATCAGTTCCCTGTTTTCCAGTTTACTTGCTCATAACCAAGTACTCAGCACAGCAATCAATCAACAAATGAAGAAATGAATTCCTGTTAACTTGTTTTCAATTAAAAAAAAGAGGATTTCTGAGGCTCTTCTGTTGAAATGTGTCGTCCAAATAAGAGTGTCACAAAAAGCCCACTGATTTAAATGAGTCCTAGAAAAAAAGCTGTGAGAAGCTAAAACCTGATTCCCGAGTTGGATTTTGACAAAAAGTAGAGGAAACAGTTTCAGTATGTGGAAGGTGGACTAGTTGGCTTTTGAACTAAGAAGGATTTTTACATTTTTGAAAGGATTAAGCAAGCAAGGAATGGGACAGAGACTCTATGTGATCCACAATGTCTAAAATATTTACTACCATACTCTTTACAGGAGAATCTGGATTGGATAAATAGGGATCACTGTACATTTTCAGCAGGAGAAATAATCACAAGGCAACGAACTCCTTTCCCTCAGGAAAATTAGTCCAGGAAAAAAAAAATGAAAGGAAACTAAAAGGGGAGTAATTTAACCAAGTGTGAAGAGATTGCATTATCTCAACAACTAAGAATCACAAATGTGCCAAACTCAATGCTAGACTCGGAATAAAATGACAAAAAAGAGATTTACAAGCTTAGCTGGGATGACAGACATAAACGTGGTAAGCCTCTAACAACGGTAAAACAAAACAAAACAAAACAAAAACCCTCAACCAAGCACAGAGGCAGCAACTCATTACTGGAGAGGCTACCAATCAAGCATTAGTGCCTTCTCCAGTTTTCTATGTATGGGTGATTTCTGGAATTATAAAATTTTCGTGATGAAAGCTTTCATCACTTATAATAGAGTTCAATTTTCTGATCTTACAGAGGAGATCCAGCAACATGACCTGCTTTCCCTTAAGATGGTACTTTAGCTCTTTGCTGTCTACTACTAATAAAATAGTGCTCTATCACACAATCAAGGATAATTCTGATTTTCACAACACTAGTCATTTTCTTTTAATTCTGATTTCATCATTATCCTTACGAACTATTTCAGGCATGTCTGTGATGTTGTGAAGTGCTGGTAGAGCTTACATTTGGTAAAATAAAGCAACTGTGATAACTTAGGCACTGCTATCACTTCTTTCAGTGCATGAGCCTTTTCTGCCGAAAACCAGCATTCTTGAGCCACTGGCACAGCTCATTCACTTTTACAGAGATCATGACTAGAACTGAAGAAAAAAAAAACAAAAAACCTTCATATGGAAGTCAGCTCCAGCTCACACAGTACAGATTTTCAGTCAACAATTTACATACTTAACATTGCAGAAGCCTGGCAATAGGGAAGTCAAAGGCACCCTGTAATACAAAGCCAATAACTTACATCAACCACCTATTTTCACTTGTAAAATATACAATAGAAAAAACAAAAATCACCCTACCGTATAGATTCCGAATGATAGGTGGCCACTTTGCCTACACAAAACTTTTATTTCCAGGATGCTATTTTATAGTACCCTAATTAAAAATATCCAAAAAATAAAATCAATTGAAGAAAATTTATCTGATGGGACGCCTGGGTGGCTCAGCAGTCGAGTGCCTCCCTTGGCTGGAGAATGATCCTGGAGTCCCGAGATCGAGTCCCACATCAGGCTCCCTGCATAGAGCCTGCTTCTCCCAGGGCCCGTGTCTCTGCCTCTCTCTCTCTCATGAATAAATAAATAAAATCTTAAAAAAAAATTTCTCTGAAAATTTCTAAGCTTTACTTCGAATTATTAGGGATGTACATAGTAAATCTTAAATCTAACTGCAAAACTGTCCTCTATTTTAGCACTTGTTTTAGAAGGCTACTACCATTACCTTAACATTTATATTTTGTTTAAATCTGTAATAATGCTCACGACAGCACACAAATCTTTTTTCCAGTGCAAAGTAGGTACCTTGGATTTAATACTAGGCCACTTCTCCAGGGGACTGTCTTTTCATTGAAGGAGGCACTGCAGGACCAAATGTTTGTTTGAACTGACTTTTTCTTAAAACATTTGAGCCCAAGTAAAACACCACCATTTTTAAAATACATTAAGAGGCCTAAAACACCACTTAAACAATGGAAAACACTACTTCGATTAGTTGCACAAAGACCAAACAGCCCAGCTGTTTGAAACAGGAACAAAAATCGGTTAATTCAATTAGGTACTGGGGGAGGGGAGTGCAGAAACCATCTCGATTCCAGATAACCCCAATTTTTAGGGGGGCAAACTACAAATTTTTCGGTACGTTTACAGTCCTTAGTTTTGAAAACGAATAAATAGAACTTCCTAGTCAGTGGAAAGGAACACAAAATGCTTGCGTTTTCCTTTTAACACGGGAAGAAAAATGAAGTAATCACAATAACGCGCGCGACCCACCAGAATTGGGCATCTTACACCCAAAGCATGTTTTAAAAACTGTAGCTCTTATTTAAAATTAAATGGGTCAAGAAAGGGTGCTTAAATTTAAAGAAACGCCAATATTAAGGCTTTATTATGCTACTCAAAGATTTCAAAATGATTACATCACGAGCCGCTTCGGAAACGGAACAATCAGAATTCGTAGTTCCAAAGACTCCTCGTAATTAAGTAGAATTTTTTTGCTCCCTTTGAGCAACACCTTCCTCAGCTCCATACTAAGAAATAAACTAAGGTTTTCAGAGACAAAAAAAATAAGGGAAAAAACAAAACGTTACAAGTCGATTCTCTTCTCCCATTTTACCCCTTGCAGACAACGCCTTTCTGACCCAATACTTTTCAAAGACCCTCCCCAGCCCTTTTCTCTTTTCCTCAGTCCTTCTCCAACAGGAACAAATTCCCAAGCCCTAATGAAACTCAGTATAAAAACGACCAACAAGAGTAAGCTAAACTGGAGGCCACTCTGTGGGTCGAACAGAATAGAGAACTAGGAAAAGAGAGGAAGAAAGTTCTGGAAGAAAAAAAAAAAAAGGCACTCCCTGCGGCTCCCCACCCCCACCAACACCGCCTCATTTCCCCCTCCTTACAGTAGGCAGCCATGATGGCGGGCGCAAAAGAAGGCCGCGACGCCATTTTGTCCACACACACGCGCGGACAACAGCTCTGGGAGCAGTTCACCCAGTCTTTGGAGGGTATCAAGAAAATATCCCTGGCTTTAAACTCAAGAATTGGCACCTACCGCCATAGTCCAGAGTCTTGGCCGCTAGGGCGGCGCCTCCACTTGCCGCTCTCAACAGTACCGGCCGCCCAGACGCTTCGCCACAGACTAAATCGCTCGCGCGAGAGACCCGGATGGCACAAAGGGGCTGAGGCCCGGCGCGTCGCGCAGCTTGCTGGGAAAAAAAAAGTGTCGATAAGAGTCTCTATAGCAACGCGATTCGAGGAGCTGATTGGTCGTTATTTTGAAGAGGGCGTGTAAGGCCAGCAGTGGGGCGGGGCCAAGGATACACCCTAGAACGTGCAGCCTGTAAATCGGAACGGGTGGAATTTAGGGTGGGTCAACGTCCTCTTTCGATTCTAAAGCAGTTTTGGCCCCTTCCGGCCGCTGTAAAAGGGGTTGGGCCTAGTGTTCTCCCGCCAATTTAAATCCGTGGGCTCGACCCCGAAGAGATTAGGGACAGTTGTGGGTGGCGGGAAGAGGAGTGATTTATTTGAGTTTCTTCCTTAGGGTCTTCAGTTGCAGGTGAGGAGGGGGAAATGCGCTGCTGTAGAGATGTGGGGGGTGGGTTCAGATCGAAGTAACAGCGACCTCAGCTAAGTTTGGGTGTTTTCTCATCAAGACCGCTGGCGGGAGAGGGTTTGAAGTCGGTTCTTGCTGGTCGGTTGTCCAGCTGGGGAAGTTTGTGCATGGGGGGCCTGACACTTTGATTTCGCTTAATTCGCTAATCGGTTCTTCACCCAGCAACTCGACTGCTCTCAAATCGTTAACCAAATCAGGTCTTTCGTGTGCACTCGTGTCTTTCCCCTGTAGCACCCAGCATAAAAACCCAACCTTGAAGTCGACCATTCGTTTAGCTTCTTCATTATTCCATTTTTGCTGAGGCCCGGCAGCCGCCCCAAACTCGTTGCAGCCTCTGAGCCTTTGCACTCGGCTTGCATCTCTGTTCTCCGCGAACAGCTCTTGGAATCTTTCCTTTCCCTAACAGGTACTTCTCATGCACCCCCCCCCCCCCCCCCCCGCCAAACTGAGCATCGTTTCGTTCAAAAACCTTTGGTACTGTTTGTAATTATGCACTTATATAACAGTTAATAGGCGTGAATTTGAGTCTTCTCTAACTATTGACTCGCTTTAGGTGACCTTGGCTATTTTTTTTTTTTAAGACTTTTGTTTATTCATGAGAGGGAGAGAGGCAGAGAGAGAAGCAGGCTCCGACGCGGGACTCGATCCCGGGACTCCAGGATCACACCCCGGGCCGAAGGCAGGCGCTAAACCGCTGAGCCACCCAGGGATCCCCTATCTTGGCTATTTATTTCATACCTGGCTTGTGTCTCTCTGCTTTAAGATGGATCGTTGTGCGGATTAAATTAGTAAAGCATTGAAAATTATCTTGCATATTCAATACATATTAACTAATTTTAAAAAATTATTCATGAGAGGGGCAGAGACATAGGCAGAGGGAGCCTGATACGGTACTGGATCCCAGGATCACGACCTGAGCCAAAGGCAGACACTCAACTACTGAGCACCCAGGTGCCTCACATGTTAACTATTTTATTTGACCTTCCTAAACGAATATAAACTTCATAATGATAAAGGCCTTTTCTGTCTTCTGGGCTGTATTCCTGCTCCTAGAAAGAACAGTGCCTGGCACAAAGTAGACATCAATAAACATTTGTTGAACAGCTGACTGTGACAGTACTTGAAGGTTGATAATATTTCTCTGTTGTTTTCAGATGTGGGACATAGAGACCCGTAAAAATTCACCCCAACCTGTCCCTCCTGTCTTAATTTCTTCCCAAATCCCACCCAAACACTGGCCACTAGAATTACTGTCTATTCTAACATTGTTTTGTACCCTTGCTCACATTCTTGGTAAGAACTCTTTTCCTATATTTAAAAACATATGACCATAGCCTAAATGTTACCTGCTTCCACTAATGAATATAATAAATTACCTAACACTTAATATTGAGTGCTTGCCATGAACCAAACATTGTTCTGTAAATATTCAAAACTTATAACCTTTGCTTATAGGTACAGCTATGTTCCTATTACAGAGAACTAAGGAACAGAAAGGTTACATTGCTTGCTCAAGGACAAGTAGTTGTAAATAAAAAGTACCTTTCCTGTGCTGTATGTCCCATAAATTTTATTTTATTTTATTATTTTTTAGAGATTTTATTTATTTATTCATTAGAGACACACAGAGAGAGAGAGAGGCAGAGACACAGGCAGAGGGAGAAGCAGGCTCCATGCAGAGAGCCCGATGTGGGACTCAGTCCCGGGTCTCCACAATCATGCCCTGGGCTGAAGGCGGTGCTAAACCACTGAGCCACCTGGACTGCCCTGGGCATATTCTTTGGTTCAGTCAGAAACCAAATCCAATTCTTCCCCTTTCCCCTTACCATTTTCATTTACTGTACAATACTAGAAACATTAATGGATATTTTGAAAAGTTCATCTGGAAGCTTAACCATCCTAAGATACCCCATATACTCTGACTCTAGAGCTTCCACTGTTTATCTCTATATTGCTTAAAGGTGTATTTCAAATGAAGACGTTATAATTTTAAGCTAGGCACACAAAATACTGGAAGCTCTAGGATACATTGGTGAGATCAGATTGGTGTGTTCCTAAACTAATACATTTTTCTCTGATGATAATTATAGTTAGTTCCATTTATCTTATTGGTTGAAGTATGTGGTGACTACTGAAATAACACAGAAAAGTCAAGACACAGAAAAGTCTTGACTGATGTGTGTATACATACATATATATATATATATATATATATATTTTTTTTTTTTACTAAACCTTTTCATTTCCCAAGGAATTGTATTCAATGCAACAATATAATTTGTTCTCTACATGTTGTCACAGGAAAAGTAGTGGTTCCTGGTTCAGGAAGACAATCTCAGAAATAATGTGGAATGATATTGAGCTGTTGACAAGTGATGATACAGGAAGTGGGTACCTAAGTGTTGGCTCAAGAAAAGAACATGGAACTGCTTTATATCAAGTTGATTTGCTAGCAAAGATCGCCTCTGAAAAGGTAATGATTATGATGCTGATTGTTTTCATTTACAGTACTTTTGCTGAGTGCTTAGTAAGCTCAGTAGTCACACAGTAAATGTTCTGTATATATGCATATAGCATTTTCTCAGGGAATCGAGGTTCAGTCTCAGATTACTAGAAATTTCCATCTGAATTCTCTCTTCATTGTCTTAAGATCACTATATCCAAAACTGAACATTTCATAGCTCTTCTTGATATTTGGACAAATAGAATGTAAATAAAGTGAAACAAAGAATAGCTACACCAGCTTAGAAAATAAATCATTACCACTAGACTTGAAGCCCCAATCCCATGTTCCCCCAGTACTCCACCCCTGAGTTAAGCATTCTGCTGAGGTTGATATGTATCCTTTCCATGCATTTCTTTCCACATATTAATTTTCTTCTTTTAACAATAATTCTAGGGATACCTGGGTGGCTCAGTTGGTTAACCATCTGCCTTCAGCTCAGATCATGATCTCAGGGTCCTGGGATCAAGCCCCACATCAGGCTGCCTGCTCAGTGGGAAATCTGCTTGTCCCCCTTCTTCTGTCCCTCTCCCTATTTGTGCTCTCTCTCTCTTTCTTTCTCGCAATTAAATAAATAAAATCTTAAAACAGTAATTCCATTTTCAGTCCAGGCTTGAAACCTTATTTTTTGCACCTTCTAGAAAATATTACAGTTAGTTTTTTTTATCTTGGGTTTTCTTTTCTTTTCTTTTTTTTTTTTCAAAGATTTTATTTATTCATGAGAAACACACACACACACACACACACACACACACACACACAGAGAGAGAGAGAGAGAGGCAGAGACACAGGCAGAGGAAGAAGCAGGCTCCATGCAGGGAGCCTGATGTGGGACTCAGTCCCAGGACTCCAGCATCATGCCCTGGGCAGAAGGCAGGCGCTAAACTGCTGAGCCACCCAGGAATCCCCTAGGTTTTCTTTTTCAGTAATTTGATAAATTTTTGTAAACAAAGGGTTTTTTTTTTTTTTTTTTTTTTTAGAGAAATATGATTATTCTTTTTTTTTTTAATTTTTTTATTTATTTATGATAGTCACACACAGAGAGAGAGAGAGAGAGGCAGAGACACAGGCAGAGGGAGAAGCAGGCTCCATGCACCGGGAGCCCGACGTGGGATTCGATCCCAGGTCTCCAGGATCGCGCCCTGGGCCAAAGGCAGGCGCTAAACCGCTGCGCCACCCAGGGATCCCAACAAAGGGTTTTTTGTAAAGAAAGTACATCTGATTTTTATTTATGGCATAGCCCAGGATCCCTTCATTTCCCTTAGTAAGTCAATGTAATATTTAATCCTCAATTAAGAAAAAAGGTTTCAATAAAAAGAAGCAAAATATTAGAGACAAGAGTTGTATCTTCTAGGGCTTGAAAGGAAGGGCCTCTTCTGAGGACCTTCTTCATAAAGGACCTCAAATGTAGACTTTTGGCTTTTTTTCAACTGAGGTTCTATATGTATTCAAAGAAACTAGCTGATAGGATTTTTTAAAAATATACCATTCTTTACACAGCTTGCATACTGTTGTTGGACTTTACTGCCTTAGTAGACTATGAATCACAGAATTTGTAAATGTTAATTATGAGTAGTACAAATAAATTATTTTCCTTGGTATTAAATTGTTTATTAAAAGCAAAAATTTTAATTTAAGGTATATTAAAAGTTCTGTAATGAGAAAATAGCATTTATATTTGAGTATATCAGGAGCCTCAAAACATGGAAGTGGCCTAGGCCTCTCTTGAGCTCTGAGGACTCCTGTTGAAAAATAATAGTATGTGTGTATTAAGCTTCAAATTCAGCAAAGAACTAAAATTCTCTTATTAGCTTGGAGTATCACTCATCACTCATAGCAAATACTATGTTCAAAACCCTATGCTAGGGACACCTTGGTGGCTCAGTGGTTGAGTATCATCCCACGTCTGGGGATTGAGTCCTGTGTTGGACTCCCCAGGGGAGCCTGCGTCTCCCTCTGCCTATGTCTCTACCTCTCTCTGTCTGTCATAAATAAATAAATAAATAAATAAATAAATAAATAAATAAATAAATAAAATCTTTAAAGGGGAAAAAAAAACCCTATGCTAAACACTTAGAAT